CAGGCTTTCATCGTTCTCTAATCAGTCTTTTCGTCAATCAGCAGCTATGCTGCTTACTACTGCTTGCTCCAGCTGACTATTAGTCGCCGTTACCAATCCTTTTTAAAGATAAAAAGAATTGGTAACCGCGCCTGCTATGTCGCACTCATCGTTGCTGCAACATGTTATATATTATTATATGCGTTGTATGCCTATGGATAACTTATTTAATTTTTCTCTGTTCTCTAAGAAAAATCAGCAGCTAAGAAGATCCGAAGTTGGAGCCCTTCACTGACTGGGAGACGCCCGGACCAATCCTTTATAGGGTTATAAAGAATTGGTCCTTGCATTTTCTATGTCACATTCATCAATTTTTTACGCAACGATACAAGAATAAAAGAATATATTATAATTTACCAACAACTCAGAAGATCTCAAGTTGGCGCCCATCACAGACAGGGTGGCGCCAGGGCAATCCTTATTAAAGATTTAAAAAGAATTGCCACTAGCGCCCCCATGTTACATTCATCGTTGCTGCAACTACATGCCAAGACCAATTAAATATAGTGTTTTTATCTAATGTACCCTATTTTCAGACAATCTATTTCTGAGCAGATTAATAATGCTTGCGTTGTATGTTTTTGGATAACAAACTTTATTTTTGTATACTCTAAATTATCAACAGTTAAGATCAGAAGTTGGCGCCCTACACTAACTAGGAGACGCCAGGACCAATCCTTTTTAAAGTTAAAAAGAATTGGTTCTTCCATTTTCTATGTTACATTCATCAATGCTTCGATACGCTCTGCTGTAATAATGGTTATAATAATTAATTCTATCTTAAATTATATCTTGTAATTTAGTGTTGTTTTAATATGTGCGTTTTCTTCTAACATTTGTCTTGTAATTTACCAACAGCCAAGAAGATCTTAAGTTAGCACCCCTAATCGACTAGGTGGTACCAGGGCCAATCCTTTTTAAAGTCAAAAAGAATTGGCCCTAGTGCTCTCTACGTCACATTCATCGTTGCTGCAACACAAAACGGGTCAAGAACAAAAAATTTACCGCTAATGTGCGTTGTTTTCAGACTATCTGTTTCCTGCTTACTACTGCCTGCTCCAGCTGACTAGTAGTCGCCGTTACCAATCCTTTTTAAAGATAAAAAGAATTGGTAACCGCGCCTGCATTGTCGCACTCATCGTTGCTGCATTATGCTACAGTATAACTTAATAGTCAATGTACAAAATGCCTGTTTCCTGTCTGCGTTTTTGTTTGTATCAATTTCACGTGTAATTTATCTACAGCCAACAAGATCTCAAGTTGGCGCCCTTCACTGACTGGGTGGCGCCAGGACCAATCCTTTTTAAAGTTAAAAAGAATTGGCCCTAGCACCCTCCACGTCACATTCATCGATTCTTCGATACAAGACTGAAGAAATATTTATTGTGCTTTGTTATATTTTTTTGTAATCTATTTATTTTACCTGTAATTATTCTGCAGCTATTAGGCTCACAGGATCCGCTCCAGCTGACTAGTAGGCGCCGTTACCAATACTTTGTATAGTTAGAAAGAATTGGTAACCGCGCCTGCTATGTCACTCTCATCGCTGCATTAATGTGTCGTGTGTGCTCTTTGAATATGAATAATTCTATTTATGAGCTTTTGTGTTTTGAGGAACCAAATTTTGGACATTATTTACAGCATACAAATTTACAAGATGAAAGATCTTTTTTACCTGGGTGGCGCTCTCTATGTCAGATTCATCGTTGCTGCAACACACTACTGAACAAGACCAAAAAACTTATAACTAATGTTGGGTTTCAGGCTGTCTATTTTCTAAGAATCTTAGTACTGCTTGCTCTAACTGACTAGTAGGCGCCGTTACCAATCCTTTTTAAAGACAAAAAGAATTGGTGACCGTACCTGCTGCGTCCCTTTCATCGCTACAGCAACTTGTGGTGTGTGTGTGTGTCGACTAATCCTTTTTAAAATTAGAAAGAATTACGCTAATTACGCTAAGTCATTCTCATTGCCACTGCAACTTGTCGTGTGTGTGTGTTGTTTACCATTAGTTCTGTTTTTGAGTTAATCGGTTTATTCTTTGTATGTTATAATATTTACTTACAGATTGCTAGACATATTTCAAGATCGAAGATCGTCTCAGACTAGGCGGCGCCAGGGCCAATCCTTTTTAAAGATAAAAAGAATTGGCCCTCGCACCCTCTATGTCACACTCATCGATGCTGGTCGGTGCGATACAAGAATAAAGGATAATAATATGTAGCTTATTATAATACTGTTTTAATCTCTGTGTTTTGTTCTGACCTGTAAATTTTCCTAGTAATTTACTAACAAATAAGAAGATCTCAGGTTGGTGCCCTCACTGACAGGGTAGCGCCAGGGTCAATCCTTTTTAAAGATAAAAAGAATTGGCCCTAGCGCAATCTATGTCACATTCATCGATGTTGTTCGCTGAGATACAAGAATAAAGGAATATAGTAATTATGTCGCTTATTATAATACTGTTTTAATCTCTGTGTTTTGTTCTGACCTGTAAATTTTCCTGGTAATTTACTAAAAAATAAGAAGATCTCAGGTTGGTGCCCTCACTGACTGGGAGGCGCCAGGGTCAATCCTTTTTAAAGATAAAAAGAATTGGCCCTAGCACCCTCTATGTCATACTCATCGATGATGTTCGCTACGATACAAGAATAAAGGAATATAATATGTAGCTTATTGTAATACTGTTTTAACCTCTGCGTTTTCCAACGACTAAGAAGATCTCATGTTGGTGCCCATCACTGACTGGGTGGCGCCAGGGTCAATCCTTTTTAAAGAGTAAAAAGAATTGACCCTAGCTCCCTCCATGTCAAACTCATCGATGCTGCATCATTCTACAGAACAAGACAAAATTTTCATGTCAAGCAGGCCCAGTTTAGGTCTGTGTTTTTTCTAGTTTATATTCAATTTATTTACAGCTAACAAGATCCTCAATTGGCGCCCACCACTGACTGGGTGGCCGCCAGTGCGTCCTCCATGCCACACTCGCGCTGCTGCAACACGTACTAAGAAGACTTAAAATGTTGCAGAATATTGAAAACGGATATATGTCTCTTATCACACTGTATTATGAATTTACATTATTTAATAGTGAACTCTATGTAAAACTATATTTGATATACTTTTATGCAAATAATAAAACTGAAGGTTCTCATATCTCTCTGGAATAAGAAACCGTTAAGACACTGATACTCAGATAATGAATTCCTTTAACATCGCAATTAGACATACGCAGAGCATTTGGTTAAAACTAAATTAAGTATGTATTACAAATAACTCTTTGGGGAAACAATTGTAAATAGATATACGATAGATACTACTATAAAATATAAGGACACAATATTTTTATTGTCATCTTGTCAAGAAAGAAGAATCTGTCAACAGTCAAGAAGATCTCAAGCTGGCGCCCTTCACTGACTAGGTGGCGCCAGGGCCAATCCTTTTTAAAGTTAAAAAGAATTGGCCTTAGCACCCTCTACGTCACAACCATCGTTGCTGCAACTTGCTACAAGACAAACAAAGCAATATTAAGTGTTTGGAAAATGAGAAGATGTCGAAGCAAGAAAAACGCCGTTACCTGACGAGGGGACACCAGGGCCAATCCTTTTTAAAGTTAAAAAGAATTGGCCCTAGCGCCCTCTATGTCGCAATCATCGTTGCTGCAACACTCTACGCTAGAACACTTGCAACATAACTAAAGATTTTATTATTAGAATATTTTTTATTGTATTTGTAGTTTATCATTCCCCAAGCAGTCACCGGTGACCGCTCTCCACTAACTACATTATAGGCCTTATTTCCGATGTTTAAAGACTACTTTTGTATGAACAGGGGATGATATTTTAACAGGACGTGTTTTTGACAATTTCGTCGGTTGTATAGAAGGTGATACTGGTTGTTAAATATAAAAACGCTTAACCAGTTCAGTTGGCATATTATGACGTCTTAAGGCTGCCTGTCCATTGACGCGGAGAGGGGCAGCGGACCGGAGAAACGAAGAAATATTCACCAATAGGATTGCATGAAATCTCCGCTCCGATTTAGTGAAAAGGGATTTGCGAGCTAGTTTAAAAATTCATACATTTTCGGAAGCGGTGCGAGGTAGCGGTGCGAGACAGTGGAGCGAGGCACCCGAATGAGCCGGCGGTGGGAAAGCGGTCTGGGGAGCGGGGCGGAGGTAGGGGATATTGGGATAGTATAGAATACCGCTGAAGTTCGACAATCCATTACTCCGCTCATCAATACTCGCTGGCTCGCACCGCTTCCTAGCTCTGCCTCAATGGACAGACACAGTCCGTAACTCCGCTCCGCAATACTCGCTAGCTCCGCTCCGCTGTCCCTCTCCGCGGGCTATCCGCGGTGTACCCCTGGAGATTCGGCCCAAATGACATTGCTATGTCGGTGGGGCCATGGGAGGTGGAGGGATTGTCCCTCTCCGCGTCAATGGACAGGCAGCCTTAAGCCAGAGCGGTTCTGCTGAGGGAACGAGATCTCCACAGAAATATTAAACGCTTGTATAGCTCAGTTTCTTTCCCTCAATGGAACCATTCCGACTTTAGGACGTCATAACAACCTCGCTGTAACGTGGCCGAGTCACACTTGCGACTGCTGGGCAAGGGGTCTCGGGTTCGATTTCCATGTCAGGCAAAGTATTATTAAGTTTTAATAGTAGCATGGAGTCTGGAATTGTGCCGAATATCTGGCAATAGGCTCACATTATTTACACATATTACATGGGACTCATAACTAAAATAGTGAAAAGTGGCAATCGAACCCGAGACCTCTTGCCCGGCAGGAGCACATGCGACTACTCGGCCAACGAGGCAAAATCAAATCAATCAAATCATTTGTTTGCACAAAATGTAGGTGTTTACAAGGCAGTCAAACGGATACATTTATCAGTATAGATATAGATTTTTAATAACATACTCTGGTATTTACAAATATTTAATTTTTTCCAGGCCTGGAAAGTATGGAGTTTTTGCCCGAACATAATGCAATCAAATTCTTCGGTGACACAGATTTTGATCACCTATACAAAAAGGATGGGTTGATAGAGAGCTTCAAGGATACGCCGTTGACAATATCTAGCGAAAACGGATCTGTACTGCTGAATTTACAGACAAAGTTAGTATTTATATTGACTTCTAAGGAAATATTAAATATTAATACCAAGTTTTTATTATAATTAAATTAATTTTTTGTTATAAAAAAATTATGGGGTGAATAGGGATCGAGAGGTGATTAGGGACAGAAGAGGGGTGAATTGATATTCTTCATAATATCGATTCACCCCTCTTCTGTCCCTTTTCGCCGCTCAAACCCTATTCATCCAATTTTACCGTAATTATTATGTTTTCGGCTCTATGAGCCTATTGATATGAGCCTCTAGCATGGCTTGCAACTAGTCGAATTCCTCGTCAGACAGTTACTTAAGTAAGCCGAAAACGTAATAATTGACTTCGAAGTATTTTGTAGTTTATATGTGATTTTCACTGCAGCAAAGACAAAACGCAGAATTCTAAAATCGCGATGCTGGAATTGAAACTACAACTCACAAAGCTGCACGCCTTTTACATTTTAATCCCTGAACGGGTACTGCTAAGCTAACAGCTACACAAGCGCTATTATGTGTCCACCATAGCCTAGCTGGTCCATTCTCACCTGTCATTGGTCGAGATTATTCTCACAACCAATGGCATGGCAGACCGCGATCGAGCTGACTTCGATCTTTCGAATTGAAAGTTACAGAAAAGCCTAGCAGTTATGTTTTGAGTTTATGTGATAAGGATGAGCTCATTGTTATATACCGACTCTATGATGTTAGTAAAGTGCTGCATCCTCACAACCCAGCCGTCGCGAAGGACGCTCCGGGTGTCGGGGATCGCGGGAGCGATCCCGGGTATCTCGGGTAGGTCGGGCGAGCATGGGCAGCTCCACTATGTTATAAGTCCATGGGCGCCAACGGTAGGCGTTGGATCAAGAAATCCGTCTACTCGTTTACCTCTTAAGAAAACTAACATTTTATTTGCAGACCATCTCGCTATGAGAACAAGTTGACAGTGAATACCTCAGGAGTGTTCGTCCGTGGAGTATCAGCGATGGAGCTGACAGACCCTGATACCGGCGAGGTGGTTTTCAGCACAGCAGCCACTGAGATGAACGTACCAGACGGAGTAGGGAATGTTCATGCTAAGGTTTGTGATTTTTTGATGCCTATGCTTTTTTTAACTATCTGACCTCAGTAGGGCTGATACCCGATACGGAGCTGCGGAAGGCATAATGGGTTGCCGGGGCTCAAGCTCAAAGAGCAGTAGTAAGAACGGTGTGGTTTTCAGTCAGTAAGAGTCTGACACTCCCTCTCGCCTAACCCAAGGTAGGAGAAATCATTGGATGGTATTCTCAATAAATATAATAATACGTCTTCTTCTGTGCCGTGGGTGCGTTAAAAACCATGCAAACACATACGCACATCACACCCAGACTCGGAACAACAATTTGTGAATCACACAAGTATTGTCCCGTTTTGGCGCCCCCGCAATTGGAGCGTCGCGGCGCCCCTCTGTATCCTGGCGCCCTAGGCACTTGCCTAGTTTACCTTAGGGACAATACGGCCCTGTGTATTAGGTACAATCAACACAATAGGGTAGATGCCTTTTTTATTTTAATGTCCGTCTGGTAGATTATTTTAAATAATTAGACACGTATTTTTTTCTTTTCTCACAGAAACTAATACTTTCGACGATATATTGATTTGAAATGTCGCGTGACGTCACTTATCTATGTAGGTATATTTTATACTCTCACTCCTAAACTTTGATTCGTTTTAACTAAGTATTCTTTTATTATACGACAGTATAAAAAAATACTTGTCTAATATTTTTTCATTACCTACTTAACTGACGGACTAATTAGATTTTTTATTTTCATACCCTGTCTGTCATCATACCAATTCTAACCATCTTTCACTATCTTTTCAGCAAGTAATAGTAAAGCGCATAGCGGCTCCCACCGACGAGGACCTGCTCCTCCGCTCCGAAGCCTCAGCATACCTTCGAGGAGCCGAAGGAACGCACATGGAATCTAAAGAGCTATTCTGGAGCGCTGACCAGGACATATACTTGAAATCTATTAACGGTTCCATAGTTTTAAGCGGCAAAGATGGCGTATTTATCGATGTTAGGTACCTTCCAATCGCCAGCTCTGTGAACAGGACTGATAAATATAGTCAGGGGACTGGTCAGTTCAAAATTTGCGTTTGTATGCCTCAGGGGAAGTTGTTTAGGATTGCTGTGCCGACTGGACAGAAGGTTTCCTGTGCACATATTAATATGACGGGGGATTTGAATCCCTGCATATGAATTTTTTGTGTTGTTGTTACTTTCTTAGTCTGGAACTGTCGCACTGCTGGGTGTTGTATTCTTATACCTATGGGAAATGAATTGTTTTGTATGTAGATTAAAAACAATGTAATTTCTGTTCTGGATTATTTTCTAGATGTAGGAAAACGATGGTTTTTAAATTTTACGTTTTTTTATAACCTTTGTGATTACTATACTTACTTACTTACTTAAATTTTAATCAATAACGGTTTTTTTAATATTTTAATATTTTTTCACAATATAAGTACAAATGTGGGCATAACTTTTGTTTAAATTAAACTCTGTTTCATAACATCTAATTACGAAATGATTGGTAAAATTAACCGTATTATCCCATAAGGCAAAGCCAATTGCCTAGGGCGCCAGGATGATGCAGGAGCGCCGCGAGATGCGCGTGCCCAACTACCTAAAGAGGGGCGGTGGCGCCAAAAAAATTAGGGATGGCTCTGAGGCGCTATCGTGTTGGCCCAGAGGTTTAAGCCACACGCTTCTCAATGAGGGTTCGAAACCTACCAACGGCAAGTACCAATGTGACTTTTACCGAGTTATATGTACTTTCTAAGATTATCTAGACACCACTGACATATGGTGAAGGAAAACATCGTGAGGAAACCTGGGCTTATAATTTCTAATTATAAGTTTGTAATCGCCAACCCCCATTGAGCAAGCGTAGTGATTAATGGTCAAACCTTCTCCGTGTGAGAAGAGGGTTTACTCAGCAGTGGGCATTTATAGGCTATTGATGATAATGAGGCGCTAGACTAGGGCGCTCTCTAGACTTATTCCACCTCTGTATTGCACCTGAGTTACTATTTATAATGACAATACCAATATTTCTTACCTCTTATATTTATTATTATTGCATTTTTGTATTTTTACTGTAACTTAAATAGTAAATGCCGTAAAATAGGGTGAATAGGGATCGAGAGGTGAATGGGGACTGACGCATACTTGACATAACATAACATCACGTCTTTTATCCCCGAAGAGTGTACGGCACTTAATACCACTGTACAATGTAACACTCACTTTTCACTATTCATGTTATGAGACCCATGTAATAGGGGGTGAGCCTATTGCCATATACCGGGCACAATTCCAGACTCCGTGCTACTACTGAGAATTTGAAAAAAGCCAGTAGGTAGTACTTTGCTCGACCCGAGACCCCTTGCCTGGCAGTCGCACTTGCGACCACTCGGCCAACGAAGCAGTCAGGCGGATAGGGAAATTCTTCATATTATCGATTCACCCCTCCTCTGTCCTTTTACACCCCATTTTACTGTAATTAAAGTAGAATAAATTATAGACCAGAACTTTTTAACAAAAATCGCGGGTTACTCACGTGAATATACTGAGAAAAGCTCTCCTAGTTTTGAACCACAGAGGAGTTCTGGCTAGCGTTGGCGCTCGCATCGGTGTTGGTACTTGCGCTGCGAGCCCAACGCGCCCTCTGCCGGACATCACGAGCGTTTGCTTCAAACTCCGGCGGTGGCGCGTGCGACAATGTTGAATCGCACGGTACGGTTCGATTCCGGGTTCGAAACTAGTAGAGCTATTCTCAGTATATTCACGTGAGTAGCCCGCGATTTTTAGTTAATTTAGTATGTCTCACGATAGTTATTAGAAAACCCAAAACTTTTATATGAAAATAATAGTCGGTATACTGTTTTATGTAGTTCTAAGTAGTGAAATATATTATGTATACATGTTTTAGCCAAATATAAACCAAAGTTAAATGTTACTATGGAAAATATTCAAACTATAAGCACTTTAATAGGTACTTAGAATGAGTTCGGTTTACATATACTTACCGTAAATAGAAACGTTATCGGGTTCGACGGTGTTGAAATTGGGTATTTTCCTTAATCAAAAAGAAATTATTTCGACTGTTCAATACAATAAATATACAAAAAAATAATCACACTTTCATTAATTGGGTTTTATGACGAACTTAATTTTAATATTTTTCCATAATTTTTTTAGGAAATAACAATGCTGTTTGGCGCTAAAAAACGTGACGTCACAATACACAATCTCGTACAAAATTCATAGAAAACTGTCATTTTTGACAGTTCGAAAAAATATGTATTGAATTTGACTAGTTGGCAAATACCCGATTCTGTAACATATCTAATTTTGTATATCAAATTGGTAACACAATTAAGAATGTATGTTAATTGTTAACTAATAAATAAATAATGTAGTCAATATATTTCGTGTTTTTATTGTTTAACATTGATACCAAGTTCGCTGAAAATAGGGCGGACATACGCCCGAACACTGAAAACTGAATAGGTCGTACTTAAATAGCGTACCATCTCTGTCACTTTACCCGAGCGTGCGGCGTTCCGCGCGCCTCAAAGATCCATCAGACCACCACGGATGGGGCCCAATAGGGCTGATGCCGATACTGAGTCGCGGAGGACATAACGGGTTGCCGGGGCTCAGCTCAAAGACTACTGACAGACTATTATATATTTCATATTTGTTGACGTTTCAAAAGTACCAAATTATGGTTTAATTGAAATAAATGCTGTTGTTTGAGTTTGAGTTTGAAAGTGCAGAGGCCTTAGTACGAGTTTGTTATACGCGTAAAGTAATTGTAACGAGTACGCGTTCGACGCTCTGATTGGTTGGTTCATTGGCGCTGGCCAATCAGATAGCCAAACGCGAACTCGTTTCAAATACTTTAAACTTAAATCAAACTCGTACTAAGGCCTCAAGAGAAGGAGCGGGGTGGTTTTTAGTTAGTAAGAGTCTGACACTCCCTCTCGCCTCACTCGGGCGGGAGCAGTCATTGGACGATTATCCTCCCTCAAAATAGGGGTCGATGTGGTCTTACAGCTGGGCACTGGCAGAAGCTAGTATGAATAAAACAAAAATCCTCCATCGTTCAGAATTTAATTCTTCAATTTTAAAAACTATATATATAAAATACACACGACAATTCTGAATAATTTTCTTCATTATTATAATTTTCAAACTACAATGGTACCACGACACCTTTGTGGCAGGGGAGCGGGGCAGAGATCTAAGTCAATAAAAGCAAATTACACAACCTTTATTTCTTTTATTATTTTGTTAATTTTAACATATGACTAATCTTTGTTTAATAAGGTGGAACGAGCAGATGGATCACCTGATGGTAATGAATTGCTGCCGCCCATGGACACCTGGAACACTAGAGGCGTTACAAGTGCGTTACCGGCCTTTTGGGGATTAGGAGTTTGTTTCTATACTGTAATTCTGCAAAATATGACGTCACACTAGAGGGGGGAGGCTCACAAATGTGACTATCTGTTACAAGGACGGGGGGAGGGGCAAAAAAATCATGTTTCATGACCTCTTTATAATCAAAAATTAGTCATACGCAACAAATTGAAATTTATCTTATAACATCGACAACTTCCAAAAACTCCCGCTACAGGCGCTGGTGTCGAAAACAGTCAACTTGAAGCAATTTTTTATTTTAAAAAATACATTTCATTTACTTTATAATCCTACCAGACAATAATGTAAACATATAGTTATACGAAAAATTTTGAGGCCATCTTATATCTTATGTATATAAAAACTAGCTAACCCGGCAAACGCGGTTTTGCTATTAAAAAATAAGTGTTGATCGTAGAAGGGTGAAAATTGAGGATTGTATGTATTTTTGTATATTGTATCATAAAAAAATAGAAATAAAAAAATTTGTCTAAAAAAATTTAGGGTTTTTTTTAAGCGGGGAAAATCATCGAATGACTGCTCCCGCCTGGGTGAGGCGGAAGGAAGTGTCAGACTCTTACTGACTAAAAACCACCCCGTTCCTTCTCCTGCACGTCGAGTCGGAGCCCCGGTTACCCGTTAGGTTCTCCGCGACGGACTACCCCTAACATTTAGGGGGATGAAAAATAGATGTTGGTCGGTTCTCATAGATACCGGATAAGCACAAAAAATGTCATCAAAATCGGTGAAGCCGTTTCGGAGGAGTATAGCAACGAAAACTGTGACACGAGAATCCTTACTAATATTATAAATCGGAAAGTGAGTTTGTTTGTTTGTTCCGCTTTCACGCCGTAACTACTAAACCGATTGCTTTGATTTTTTGCAGACGTAAAGTTAGAAGTCCGGATTAAATCATAGGGTACTTTTTATACCGGAAAAAATGATACTCCCGAGGGAAAACAAAAGTATTGGTATAGATGGCGCTGTGCGTAATGGTATATGTCACATAGGCTACTTTTTTAATTTTGTGACGCGGGTAAAAGCTAGTTTTATATATTAGATAAGTCGGGTGTTCCTTCCTGACGCTATAACTCCAGAACGTACGAACCGATTCCCATGGTTTTACATTCGTTGGAAAGGTCTCGGGCTCCGTGAGGTTTATAGCAAAGAATGTTACATAAAACGACGCCATCTGATGGCGAAACGGAGTTCGCCGGGTTTGCTAGTTTAATCTATGATATAACACGTACATGTAACATCACGCCTTTTATCCCCAAAGGGGTAAACGGAGGTGCACATTACGTCACCTAATACCACTGTACAATGTAACTTTTTCTATAAATTTCCGAGTTATATGTACTTCCTAAAATAGGCGTGTCGACAGGGTAAAAAAATCAAAAAAGTAATTAGTCCGTCATTAAGATCGCACGAAAATATCAGACACGTATTTTTTGTTTTATCAAATTAACAGAAGAATACGTAGTTATTCCGCATTAAAGTTAGGGAGTGGGGGGTGTTGACGTCACACTTACGGAGAAATCGTACCTAAGTGTGACGTCACGCGTCATTTTAACTCAAAATATCTGCATGTTTTTTTGGATACGAGAAAAAAGAAAAAATACGTATCGAAGATTTTTAAAATATCTAAAAGACGGACAAAAAATTAAAAAACAGTCGCCACGCCTATTATTCAGACACCACTGACAAACGGTGAAGGAAAACATCGTGAGGAAACCTGGGCTTATAGTTTCTAATTATAAGTTTGAAATCGCCAACCCGCATTGAGCAAGCGTGGTCATTAATGCTCAAATGATAGATAAATAATTTAAGGTAGTGTTTATGTCAAAAATCACACTAATATTATAACTATGATAGTTTCTTTGTTCGGATGTTTGTCCGTCAATCACTTTATTTTATTTATATAATTTTTTCTTATTCTTATTGTTTGTTTTATTTAAACTGTCAAACACCAAGCGGTCACCGGTGACCGCAACCTATTGTTCTATAATTGTGTCTATAATGACGGTACTCAACGACGAGGACTGTTCTGTTTTGTTTTTTTTTTCTTTTATAATTATTTGAAATGTATAACGCCTTGGTTTTATGACTGTAATGTTATACTATTTAATTGAAATAAATAAATAAATCACGCTGAAACTACTGAACGGATTCTGATGACATATGGTATACAGGCAGGGTATGGGCTGACTTAGGTGATAGGACTTTTTACCCAGATTAAATGCTCCCATGGGATAAAACGAATACGCGGGCAAAGCCGCGAGTAAAGGTTAGTTATTAATGAAACATCATCAATAGTCCATCACAGTCCACTGCTGCACTATGAGTCTCCTCTACATAAGAGGGTTTGTCATAATCTCCACAGGCAGGCGGGTTGGAGATCGCAGTATAAAAGCTTCAGGTTTATCAGAGAGCGCTGCTGCACGGTCTCTGTCTAATATAGCCATTTCAACTTAGTCGGGTATGTGACACCCACATGAAGAACAATGTTGGTGATCAAAATTTTTCGTATAAAACAACGAGAATTACAATCTAAAAACTACTAATATAGTAAAAAAACATTCATATATACAAAATTATAAGTGAAAAGGATTAAACTGTATTTTAATTCACTCGTACATTCATTTAACATTTATTGAAAATAGTTATATTTTTTTCATTTTGACACAAAAATACGTCGAGTTTACTATTGAAACATAAATACACACTTTTTTAACAACATCACGCCTTTTATCGCCGAAGGGGTAGACAGAGGTGCACATTATACCACTGTACAATGTAACACCCACTTTTCACTATTTATGTTATGAGTCCCATGTAATAGGGGTGCATATTGGCTATGTGGACGACGGTAGCGACGCCTAGCATTTACAACATATGCGGAAGCTGTCAAATAATAATAATGTGATTACATTATAATTTTCTTTGCAAATATAAATAAAACCAAAGATTAAAATAGTATTGTTGACATTATTTAAGTGCAATTTATTCAATAGGTTTATTGTAAAATGAATATAATAATAAAAACCGGTAGTTTGCATCATCCGCATTTGTTTCCAATTTCTGCCGTGTTGTGCGCTGCGGTCGTTGTCTGTCCGCCACTACTCGCTTTGCACATAGCCAATAGGGTACTTTTTTTTCACGAGATTGCGGACGAAGCCGTCGGCAGAAGCTGTATGTATAATTTAACTCGTCGAGTACCGTCATTATAGACACAATTATAGAACAATAGGTTGCGGTCACCGGTGACCGCTTGGTGTTTGACAGTTTAAGTTATAGTGTATAATTTATGTTTCAATAGTAAAAAATATCGAACTTTTCAAATCATACAGGATTTTCAGTATATTATTTTAAAATATTATATGACATACAAATATCTTGTTATATTTATATAGAATGCAAACGGCACGCCCGCGAAAATGCTGACAAAAACCTAGCTTCACTGACGGACAGACTGACAGACTATTATTTTATTTTGTACTAGCGACCCGCCCCGGCTTCGCACGGGTGCAATATGCACGTATTATACATATAGACCTTCCTTAAGAATCACTCTATCTATTAAAAAAAACCGCATCAAAATCCGTTGCGTAGTTTTAAAGATCTAAGCATATTATATTCTTTGTTTTATACCATGTAGTGATTTGTTGACGTTTCAAAAGTACCAAATTATTGTTTAATTGAAATAAATGCTGACTTTAAAAAGAAAATAGATGTTACAATTATAATCATTTTTTTATGGAATAGGAGGCAAACGAGCAGTTGGATCACCTGATGGTAAGCGATCACCGCCGCCCATGGATACCCGCAACACCAGAGGAGTCACAGGTGCGTTGCCGGTCTTTTAAAAAGGAGTACGCTCTTTTCTTGAAGGTTTGAAGGTCGTATCAGTTCGGAAATACCAACAACGATATATATACAAGGTACAAAACCTTGTATATTAAAGCCGCGTCATTTTCTAGGAGGTAACTCGGATATCGACTCTGAGTCCGAATAATAAAAAAAAATTGTAGGTAAATATTTTTCATTTTCGCAAGTGCGACTGCCGGGCAAGGGGTCTCGGGTTCGATTTCTGGGTCGGGCAAAGTATTACTGGGTTTTTGTAAAAAATCTCAATATTAGCACGGAATCTAGAAAAGTGCCCGGTATATGGATATAGACTCACCCCCTATTAAATGGGACTCATAACATATATAGTGAAAAGTGGGTATTACTTCTATGTGCACCTTTGCCTACCCCCTCGGGGATAAAAGGCGTGATGTTATGTTATGTTGAAAATCGTTACTAAAATCGACATTTCCGATACTACAACAGCTATATATAACAATATTCGCATGTCATAAATTGTCATAGGATTTTATAACAGTGCCATCGGGACCTAGGACAGTGTTATAAGTCACTATGACGTCGCGTCATACATAGGCTATCAGTCGTTATTCGACACAGTCCACATATATAACTGAGCACTGATTGTCACTTTCACACAGCACCGGAGTTCGGTTCCCCGCTCACAATTTGGTACGTTATTAAATACTCCGGATACGCCTGGAACGAGAAAAAAAACATTTTTATTATTATAATAATAATACAGCAGTTTTTATTAGATACTTGTCTAAGGAATCGAACCCAGGACTGGACTTATTCGACAACTCGATTCGTCCTCGATCTCGTGCCTAACTTCACAACAGTATTTCCATTACATACCATTTTCGAATATGCACTGACTACTTTCGGATAAGAACGGGGACGCATATATAAGCAAATTGTTCATGACTGATTTTAAACTACACAAAAATGGAAGAGCGTCCTATTATTTGGGGGTCGCGGGTTCGATTCCTAATATCTACATTGTAGAACATACTTTTTTTAAAAGAGTAACGAAAGGAGTTTCTTGCTCGTTCGTCTCCATTCGAATCTACGTTTTGGAATGAGCACCTAGCTTCACCTAATTTCACTGACGGACTGACTGACAGACTATTATTTATTTTGTATTTGTTGACGTTTCAAAAGTACCAAACTATGGTTTAATTGAAATAAATGCTTTGACTTTGACTTTGACTTTGATTATTGAAATAATTATTGAGTTACCTGTTCCCCTCTGTAGACGACGTACTCGGGGAAGCAGAGTCCCCCCTGCGAGGGTCTGCCGGCGACGGAGTGGTGGCCGGGGGGAGCGTGCGCCATCTTCATCGCAGACATCAGTTGGAAGGCGCGACCTAATGTTACGCGGCAGAGGAGCATTTGTCTGGAAAAGAGTGAATTAGATATGAAGTTTTCGGTTTTCGAGTGTTATGATACGAGTCTAGACAGACGGACGGCATTTGATAGAAAGAAAGAAAGAAAAAACATTTATTCTACAGTAGGCACGCACACAGATACAAAAAAAATACAAAATTAAAAAAGAAAATAACAAATAAATACACATATTTATATAGATATAGAGAAGTTATTTATTTATTTTTTTATTTATGGATAGGAAAACCAACAGCTACACATGGCAAACAAACAGATATTATAATAACACCAGAAAGCCAATTACAGGTTTTCACGGATAGATTTCACATTATTCAATTAAAAAAACACTCACAGTCTAAACAAATTACATTTAGGGAAAGAAAATAATAATTAAAAAAAACAAAACAACAAGAGCATATACCAACTAAATATAAACTTAAAAAGTGAACACACACCAACCATACTACCGACAATAACAAATTAATAATAAATTAACTTAATTTATTCATCAATTAAAAAACTGAAGGGTGAGCATCCTTCGCACCGAAGAAGTCCGCGTTACAAACGGATCTATTGGATACTCCTTACACAAGTTGTTTAAGTCTCTGCTTGCACGCATAATAAAGGAATTCTGCCTATACCTCGTTGAGGAATTTCGAATTAAAAGGCCTTTTATACTACAATCATGACCAAACGCTTACAAACCAAACGAGCAGTCCGATTGCAGTTATACTACAATCATGACCAAACGCTTACAAACCAAACGAGCAGTCCAATTGCACAGTCATACTACAATCATGACCAAATGCTTACAAACCAAACGAGCAGTCCGATTGCAGTCATACTACAATCTCAACCAAACGAGCAGCCCAATTGCAGTCATACTACAATCATGACCAAATGCTTACAAACCAAACGAGCAGTCCGATTGCAGTCATACTACAATCTCAACCAAACGAGCAGCCCAATTGCAGTCATACTACAATCATGACCAAATGCTTACAAACCAAACGAGCAGCCCAATTGCAGTCATACTACAATCATGACCAAATGCTTACAAACCAAACGAGCAGTCCGATTGCAGTCATACTACAGTCTCAACCAAACGAGCAGCCCAATTGCAGTCATACTACAATCATGACCAAACGCTTACAAACCAAACGAGCAGTCCAATTGCAGTCATACTACAGTCTCAACCAAACGAGCAGCCCAATTGCAGTCATACTACAATCATGACCAAATGCTTACAAACCAAACGAGCAGTCCAATTGCAGTCATACTACAGTCTCGACCAAGGGAGCAGTCCAATTGCAGTTCTATTGCAGTCATGACCAAACGGTTGCAAACCAAACGTGCAGTTCGATTTCAGTTCTATTGCAGTAACGACCAAACGAGCAGTCTGATTGCAGTTATACTGCAGTCATTAACAAAAAATAAATGAAAATCTGTTATAAAATTTATGTTACATGCTTACCTATGACACAAATAGCAGCTCCTATCTTTGTGCGCGGGGCAGCCGGAGCCGCCCCCGAACCCGTACACGTACTGATTGCTCTTAGACGAATGCTCGGCGAAATATATACCGGCGCCGAACATACCGCCTGAAATAAAGTAGAAGTAAAAATACATTTTATGTCGTTGTGTAAAATGAATTGCTCAATGCGTTATTGTCACTGTCGTGGTGGCCCGGAGGTTTAAGACTCCCGCTTCTCATGCATGAGGGTGCGGGCTCGAAACCTACCACCGGCAGGTAGCAAAGTGACTTTTTCCGAGTTATATGTACTTTCTACGATTATCTAGACACCACTGACAAACGGTGAAGGAAAACATCGGGAGGAAACCTGAGCTTATAATTTCTAATTATAAGTTTGTAATCGCCAACCCGCATTGAGCAAGCGTGGTGATTAATGCTGAAAACATTCTCCATGTGAGAAGTTTGCTCAGTAGTGGGCATTAGGTATAGGCTGTTAATGATGATGATTTGAACGAAACGTAATTTTCTTTTAAAAAAGGTCTTGTTTTACGGGCGGGCGCAATAGGGTACTTGCTTTAATCAAAAATAAATTGTTTCGACTGTTCAATACAATAAAATATTAAAAAATATTCACACTTTCATTAATTGATTTTATTACCAACTTAATTTTAGTATTTTTCCAGCAAATTTCTAAGAAGGTACTTAACCTATGCTGTTTGACGCTAAAAAAAACGCGGCGTCACAATACACAATCTCGTACAAAATTCATAGAACACAGTCGTTTTTGACAGTTCGATAAAAAGTATTGAATTTGACTAGTTGGCAAGTACTCAATTACCTTCTATCCTCAATTAAAAATTCCCCCATTTCTCAAATAAACTGTCCAAAAGATCAGCAAAGCACTAGTAACGCCTCCGGTGTTTCGGGTGTCAATGGGCGACGCCGATTGCTTACCATCAGGTGATCCGTCTGCTCGTTTACCGGCTTATACCATAACTATGACCAGGTCATGTCAACAGAATCCTGCAAATGAAAGTAAACTCACCAATATAAGCGTGTCGTTCATCGAATCCCTTCTGCACGATGGCGTTGATGAACGGGCTCCCGTGGAACAACATGCGCTCGTTGTGGGCGCCGGCCTCCTCCAGCACCTCGCGGCGCCGGTGCTGGTACCGCTCCCACAGACGACCGTTCACTAGCTTCTGTATCTGTTCAAACAATGTTTAATAATTATTAAATCAAAAGCTCAATACACTCCCCCCCCCCTCACTGAAACTTTTTTTCCTTCTGGGGATTAAGAGTTTGAGAATCGCTGAATCCCCAACGATCCTCAAACTCTTAATCCCCAAAAGGCCGGTAACGCACTTGTAACACCTCTGGTGTTCCGGGTGTCCATGGGCGACGCGGATTACCATCAGCAGCTGTAGCCAAATGCCATTTAGCGCTTGTCTACATGTAGAATAGAAATCTAAATTATATAGGATTGACGTAAATTTTGACACTTGTCAGTGTCATCTCCATACATTTAATTTTCTACTCTCTCTCTGTAGACAAGCGCTAAAGTGGCGTTTGGCTAAAGGCCCAGGTGATTCGTTTGCTTGTTTACAAAAAAATCGATTGAAGCGAACGAAGTCGCGAACACAGCTAGTTATGTCATAAATTAAAATGTGCATAACATACAAAATCTATCTATACAGATAAATAAAATTGGAATGTCTGTTTGTAATATTTAAATAACCGCTTTTTATTACACGCATATGAATATACACACGAATCACGATACACATAACAAAATAACATTTACTTTTTACACATTTTGTCTGTTTGATTGTACTCTGGAATGGCTCGACCGATTTTGACAAAACTTATTTGGCAGGTAGCTGATATACTAAGAAGTATCATAGGCTACTTTTATTTTGGAAAATTGAAACAAAAAACAGTTATGTTTTAAAATTCATAATCAGCTACAACAGCTAGTAAGAATATACGACATACATACCCTCACAACATTATAGTGCGTGAAGCTCCCCCCCGCGTGGTCCCTGTGCGCGCGGACGGTGCCCTGCATCTCCCGCTCCACGATGGAGTACTCGCTGTCCGCGACATACATACCCTCACAACATTATAGTGCGTGAAGCTCCCCCCCGCGTGGTCCCTGTGCGCGCGGACGGTGCCCTGCATCTCCCGCTCCACGATGGAGTACTCGCTGTCCGCGACATACATACCCTCACAACATTATAGTGCGTGAAGCTCCCCCCCGCGTGGTCCCTGTGCGCGCGGACGGTGCCCTGCATCTCCCGCTCCACGATGGAGTACTCGCTGTCCGCGACATACATACCCTCACAACATTATAGTGCGTGAAGCTCCCCCCCGCGTGGTCCCTGTGCGCGCGGACGGTGCCCTGCATCTCCCGCTCCACGATGGAGTACTCGCTGTCCGCGACATACATACCCTCACAACATTATAGTGCGTGAAGCTCCCCCCCGCGTGGTCCCTGTGCGCGCGGACGGTGCCCTGCATCTCCCGCTCCACGATGGAGTACTCGCTGTCCGCGACATACATACCCTCACAACATTATAGTGCGTGAAGCTCCCCCCCGCGTGGTCCCTGTGCGCGCGGACGGTGCCCTGCATCTCCCGCTCCACGATGGAGTACTCGCTGTCCGCGACATACATACCCTCACAACATTATAGTGCGTGAAGCTCCCCCCCGCGTGGTCCCTGTGCGCGCGGACGGTGCCCTGCATCTCCCGCTCCACGATGGAGTACTCGCTGTCCGCGCACTCCCCCTCCGCGCCCGGCGCCACCTCCACCAGCGTCGTGCCGCCGTACCACTCTGGGGATTTATAAATAATCGTCATTAACTCGTTGAGTACCGTCATTGTAGACACAATTATAGAACAATAGGTTGCGGTCACCGGTGACCGCTTGGTGTTTGACAGTTTAACAGAGCTTAGTACTTATAATAATATATTTTATACGGGACTCATAACGTAAAATAGTGAAAGTGGGTGTTACATTGTACAGTGGCATTTAAGTGCCGTAATGTACACGTCTGAGTACCTCTTCGGGGATAAACGGCGCGAAGTTGTTTTGCTACTATACCTGAAGCCGCCTGCAAGCTATGCCGGGCAGCCTTGAGCAGTCGATGTCTGTGTCCATACGCCGCCACTCCGACAGCTCGAAGGTCCTCGTGGGACATCTCGGACAATATGTCGACTGTTATCTGTTCTCGTTCTAGAACTTGCGTCAGCTGTTCTAGACCGATGCTGTGGAAAATAAATATATGATTGATATTTTGGTATCTAATAAAGAAAGAAAGAAAAAACTTTATTAGCACCAGGCACGATGTAGTATAAATAAAATATAAAAAAGACAATAAAAGACAGTGTGACAAGTAAGATGAAGAGTGGGAAAAAAATTAAAACAAAAGAATCAGAAAAGAAACGCTGACAACATGCCTATGCTAAATGTGTTACCCACTCAGTGTAAGCCAGGCATACAAGTCACCCAGCACTGATTTTCAGTGGGCACCCCTGCAGTGACGTATCTGTATATTTTCATTGTGGGGGAGCCATCTGCCATGCTTCGGCACAATTGGCCCGATTCAACCGGAGTGATACCACGGCCGAGCAGTACTCCGCCGTGAAACAACGCTTGCGTTGTGTTTCGCCATCTTAGTGCTGTTTTGCTGAGGCCCAATCCCCTCTACCCCCTTTAACAACTTTCAAATCGCCAAATTCTAATGGCCAGCAATGTACTAGTAACTCCTCTAGTGTTGCGCGAGGTTCATGGGCGGCGCTGATTGCATACTATCATGTAAAAATACAGTAGATGACAACTAGTCACATTCAATACTTTTATCGAAACATCAAATACGATACTGTTCTCTGAATTTTGTACGAAATACCATCTTGTGACGTCATCATATTTTCGCGTCAAATGGCACACTTATATCTAAAAAAATGCTAGAATAAATCGAAAATTAAGTATATCGGCAAATCAATGAATGAAAGTGTAACTATTGTTCAATATTTAATTGGACTGAAAAATCAAAATAATTTATTTTTTACCCAGGAAATAACCCAATTGTAAAACGATAAATTTTTTATATATACATACACTAACTTACGCCTTTCTCCCATGGGGATAAGCAGAGATTATGGAATGCCAATTGCTACGATTCTTACATACCTCTTTCGCTTATCAACAGTCATCAGTATTTTCGTGCATGCTCGTCAGTTAAGGGTACTTTTTAGAAATATATCATAGTATAAAAACCTTAGTTCTTTTTTTAACAGTTTCTTTGACTAACCTGGACAGGAAGGTCTGTAAAGATTCAGACGTGGAAAGAGCTGATGCTGGTCTCCCGGCCGCGTCTTCTAAACTACCTCGAGATCCTTCTGCCCAATAGTTTGAGGGTACCACCTGAAAGAAATCATGGATATAGATTTAATTAGTTGAAACATAGCTTTCGAGGACGCTCTACTAGTTTCGAGACAAACTGGGACTCATAATATTAACTGTATTAGCCATGATGACAAGTGAAACAAGTGACAAGTGAATTTATTTCTGCAAATAGGCTACAAGGCAGCACTTTTACACGTCAATTTTATCAAGCGAACGATGAGGTCGACATTTCCTAACTGACTACTCTGAGAAGAAATGCCGAAACAAACTCAGAGGTCTGTCTCTTTTAAAGTCCAGACAATATGTATAACAGATTATGTGTGAGAACCGTGCCAGTTCTTTCTGTAGCTTTTCAGATGCACTATATTTATTGGTCATGGTGTGCAACTTTGATGTTAAGTGGTCTAGTTCTGATTTTAAGTTTTGGGTGTCAGTGTCATATCTCCTATTCTGTTGATTTAATTTAATAGAATAAGTATTAAGTTGGTTTAGAAGCCGGAATCGTTCTTTGTTTAATTTTACATTTTTTATAAAGAACTTTTGTCTTTTAACTAGCCTGTTAGTTTTAGTTATGTATTTATTAATTTTTATGTACTTTTTTAATCTTTTATTACTACAAAAAAGTATTTTTGTAGAATGACAAGAATTACTATCACAAGTTAAGTCAAGAGAAGAGAATGCGTGTTATGTCGCCTACCCTGATCTTTCCGTGGATTGAGAGACTGCACTATTTTGCGGAAATCCATTGTACACTAGCAACTGGGAAAATATTTACTTTTTATTCCATTGAAGCATGCATTTGTAGTGCTCCGCGGAGGAGCGGAACATATGCCGAAGGTGGTTCGAGTGGTTGTGGTTGTGTATGTGTGTATTGTGTCGCATCGTTGCTGCATGAGCGTGCATACTGCTAATCACTAAATATTTTCCCAGTTGTTAGACTACACATTCATAGCTAGCCAGTTGGGAAAACACCTATTTTACTTACAATAACATTTTTTTTAAACACTTACCGGTAAAGCCAAAGGCACGGTATCCCCGCTAGGCATCAACACAGGTTGCTGTGGCGGTGGCAAGGGGGGCGGAAGGGGGGCGGGGGCTGCTACTGAACCGGCAGCTGACGTCATCGCGTCTTGAAGTAGCGACCGGACGTCTTCCGCGCCTGCTAAGTCCAGGGCCGTTTGACCTTCCTGGTTCTTGAGGTAGGGATCTGCGCCGTGGGCGAGCTGGTGAGAAAAGAGAAATTATAAGAATATTACTAATAGGCGTGTCGACAAGGTAAAAAAATCAAAAAGTAATTAGTCCGTGATTAAGATCGCACGAAAATATCAGACACGTATTTTTTGTTTTATCAAATTAACAGAAGAATACGTAGTTATTCCGCATTAAAGTTAGGGAGTGGGGGGTGTTGACGTCACACTTACGGAGAAATTGTACCTAAGTGTGACGTCACGCGTCATTTTAACTCAAAATATCTACACGCTTTTTTGGATACGAGAAAAAAGAAAAAATACGTATCGAAGATTTTTAAAATATCTAAAAGACGGACAAAAAATTAAAAAATAGTCGCCATGCCTATTATACGTATGCGAAAGTATGTGTATTTGTGTGTTACTCATCATCATCAACAGCCTATAAGTGCCCACTGCTGAGCAAAGCCTCTTCTCACACGGAGACTTGAGCATTAATCACTACGCTTGCTCAATGCGGGTTAGCGATTACAAACTTATAATTAGAAATTATAAGTCCAGGTTTCCTCACGATGTTTTCCTTCACCGTTTGTCAGTGGTGTCTAGATAATCTTAGAAAGTACATATAACTCGGAAAAAGTCACATTAGTACTTGCCGTTGGTAGGTTTCAAACCCGCACCCTCATTCATGAGAAGCGGGCGTCTTAAAGCTCTGAGCTACCACGACAACTACGATATGTTACTCAAACACATAACTGCTTAAGGGATCAGTATGAGGGTTGGAACAGGGATAGATTTTGGCCCGAATCAACACAGAGGCTAAGTTTTATCACCAAGCCTAGGTTTGAAACACAGGTTTTTATTGAAACCTACGTCAAGCGGGTCGCTACAGTATATATAAAAAAAAATACCTAATTTATCTTATATTTAAAGGGCAAATAATAATGGTTCCGAAAACAAATTAATCTCCAACGATATGTGGCCAATTATAAAAACTAAACTTCCGAATAGAATATTGAACCTCCGACAAAATTACTAAGTTACCGACAACAGACGTTTTAGGTTAGGTTAGGTTAGTATTGTAGCAATAAACAGTCATGTAAAGTAGTCGGAAAGTTAGTATTTTAGGCAGTAGATTTAATATTTTCAGTAAAGACAATTCTTCTTTTCTTGTCGGAGCTTTTGTTACTACCCTTTAGGTTAGGTTATAGGCTATAAAACATCACGCTACGATCAATAGGAGCCGAGCAGATGTTCAATTCAATTGAATTCAACATTTTTTTTTCATATACAACATCCATATTTATGTTAGATATGCAATGTAACACCCACTTATCACCAGTTATATTGTTATGAATCCCATATAATGTAATAAGGTCGCCACTTAGAGTGAATTAATTGAGATAAAAATACCACGCGATAAAACCTTCCTTAATAAATAAACAATGCAACACATAAACATTTTTTCAAATCGGACCAGTCATTTTCGAGATTAGCGCGTTTAAACAAACAAACAAACGAAGTAACTGTTCAGCTTTATATCTATCTATACATATAATAAAATTGTAGGAGAGTGAAAACTGCACATCTAATATTTTTTTAAAAGAATGCTTTTGGTTTTGATCTACAAGCGATACCGAAGCTAAACATATGTTTTTTAGAATATTTGTCTGTTTGTCTGTATGTATGTCCGGGCTTAACTCAAAAAGTACTACATGGATTTATTTAAAATTTTGCATGTATATTACTAACAGGTCGGGTCAACATATAGGCTACATATTATCACGCCATCACCTACGGAAGAGGAGATGTGAATAATTATACCACGCGGCCGAAGTCGTGGGCACAGTTAATTTATAATAGTACTAGCTACTTCCGCGCGGTTTCACACACTCTGCTCAGCTCCTATTGGTCGTAACGTGATGTTTTATAGCCTATAGCCATCCTCGATAAATGCGCTATCCAACACAAAAATAATTATTCAAATCAGACTTGTAGTTACGGAGATTAGCGCGTTCAAACAAACAAACAAGCAAAAAAGCAAACTCTTCCGCTTTATATAATAGTATAAGATAAAAAAAATTATTATGTACGACTAAAAATTGTATATTTACCATATTCCATATATCTATAAACCTTTTCATTATGCACTGACAACTACACTGCTTTTTTAAAAGTTATTTTCAATTCCAATATTTTCTTAAAACGTTATCCCATACTAGGATTGTATGAATTGTATCCTGTATCGTTGATGCGTTTACAATCACTTTCACATACACATGACACTCAGACGTAGAACAATAGGGTAGTTTGCTAAATTTTATTTTAATGTCCGTCTAGTAGATTATTTTAAAACATTAGACACGTATTTTTTCTTATCTCACAAAATTAAATGCTTTTGACGATATATTGATTTGAAATGATTTGAAATGTGCAACAAAATGTACCACGTAATGACGTAACTACCTCCCACTCCTAAACTTAACGCCATTTTAGTTAAGTATTGTAACTTTATACGAGAAAGTAAAAAATACGTGTTTAATATTTTTTCATTATCCAACTGCCGGGCTATTTGATTTTGAATTTTCTGAACTAAAATTATACATATATATCACTCTATTACACAAAAACTACTGAACGGATGTAAATGAAATTTGGCACGGAGATAGATAATGATTTAGAATACGACACAGGGTAGTTTTTATCGCGTACCGCGGACGAAACCGCTCGTAGAAGCTAGTATAAGTTCGCGAGTAAGTATGAGGGCTGTGATCCGTACGGTACCGAAGTCACTGCCCGACTGAGCTAGAGGGTAGCGCAGGTAAAGATGGCGGGGTCGTCACTTTTCATTCAAGGAACAAAACAATTAAGTAATTGTTTTGTTTGTTAGCGATAAGCTCAAGAACTGCTAAACGGATTTTGATGCGATGTTTATCATTACAAAACAAAGTCGCTTTCCACCGTCTTTCTGTCTCTACGTATGCTTAGATCTCTAAAAATATGCAACGGAATTTGATGCGGTTTTTTTAATAGATAGAGTGATTCTTATAGTGATACTTATAGTGATAGGTTTGTACTTTTTAAAAAAAATTCAGTGGTAGCACGGAGTCTGGTATGGCGCCCGGTATATGGCAATAGGCTCACCCCCTATTACATGGGACTCATAACATAAATAGTGAAAAGTGGGTGTTACAGTTTACAGTGGCATAATGTGCACCGCTGCCTACCCCTTCGGGGATAAAAATCGTGATGTTATGTTAGATACTCTTCAACACTTACCAATAAAGCACACAGCTGAGTCCTAGCCTTATGGGCGGCCTCATGCAGCGGTGTGAATCCCCACCTGTCCGCGGCATTGGGGGGTGTACCAGCCCTCAACAACAAGGCTGCCAGTTCCACGTGGCCGTAGGATGCAGCATTATGTAGGGGGACTAGACCACCTTTGTCTCGAGCCGATACTCCTGCACCTGCTTCTAGGAGAGCCTCCGCTACTTCCAGGTTGTTGTAGCCAGCTGAGGAAAGGAAATCACACTAATCACTACACAGTATAAAACAAAGTCGCTATCCACCGCCTGTCTGTCCCTATGTATGCTTAGATCTTTAAAACTACGCAACGGATTTTGATGCGGTATTTTGCAATAGATAGAGTGATTCTTAAGGAAGGTTTATATGTATAATACATGCATATTGCATCCGTGCGAAGCCGGGGCGGGTCACTAGTATTTTATATGTGAAAGTTTCTTTGTTTTTTTTGGGATGAGCCGGTAAACGAGCAGACGGATCACCTGATGGTAAGCAATCGGCGTCGCACATGGCCTGGAACACCAGAGGCGTTACCGGCCTTTTGGGGATTAGAAGTTTGAAGATCGTTGGGGATTAGGGAGATTTGGGGTAGGGGGAGGGGGGTAATTGGGCATTTGTTTGGATATTTGTTCGTCAATCACGCTGAAACTACTGAACAAGACTGCTTTTGATGACATTTGGTATACAGGCAGTGGCAGGGTATGGGCTGACTTAGGTGATAGGATACTTTTTTATAATAAGTATCGTGAGACATACTAAATTACTGAGAAAAGCTCTACTAGTTTCGAACCACAGAGGGGTCTTCCTCATGAGCAGCGGTTCGAAACTGGTAAAGCTTTTCTCAGTATATTCACGTGAGTAACCCGCGATTTTTAGTTAATTTCTCTAGATACATAGTTTTACTATTACTTTTTTCGGCATTCCTCGTATAACATTACTACGCGGTAAAATAACTCACCGGCTAGATGTAAAGGCGTAGAATTCCGTCCGTGCGTGTCTCGACAGTTCACATTTTGTGGCGTTATTAATTTCCTGTAACACACAATGTCTAGATAAATACAAATGTTCAAGTAACTGCCTCGTTGGCCAAGTGCGACTGTCAGGCAAGGGGGCTCGGGTTCGATTCCCGGGTCGGGCAAAGTATTACTGAGTTTAAAAAATGTCAGTAGTAGCACGGAGTCTGGAAATGTGCCCGGTATATGGCAATAGGCTCACCCCCTATTACATGGGACTCATAACATAGATAGTGAAAAGTGGGTGTAATATTGTACAGTGGCATTAATTGCGGTAATGTGCACCTCAGCCTACCCTTTCGGGGATTAAAGGCGAGATGTTATGTTATGTAGTACAAGTATGTCGTAATGCTCCGGGGGTTTAATAAGCACGCTTCTTCATGAGACTGCGGCTTCGAAACCTGACAAGTAGCTGTGTGACTTTTTCCGAGTTATATGTACTTTCTAAGATTATTCAGACACCACTGACAAACGGTGAAGGAAAACATCGTGAGGAAACCTGGGCTTATAATTTCTAATTATAATTTTGAAATCGCCAACCCGCATTGAACAAGCATGGTGATTAATGCTTAATCCTTCTCCGTGTCAGAAGAAGCCTTTGGTCAGTGGTGTCAAATCGTCCCTATTTCTAGCGGGGTCAAATCGTCCCAGTTCCTAATGGGGTCAAACCGTCCCTGTCCCTAGCAGGGTCAAACCATCCCTGTTCCTGGTGGGGTCAAACCACCCTTGTTGCTAGTGGGATCAAAACTTATGTTTCTAGCGGGGTCTACTATACCTGGCTCTAGCAAGATCTCCTCGTTTGGCAGCGTCCAGTAATGCAGCGTCCCCCCTCAATGCGTCCGCAGTGTCACTGTCCCCGGCTCGTACCAGTTGTAGTGGGGTCAAACCGTCGCGGTTTCTACGCGTCGGGTCTGCGCCGTGCTGTAATGTAAATGAATGGGGTTTTGTGAAAAATTGCCTAATATGTTCATTATATTCTTGATGAAGTTGTGATTGAGCTTCAACGACATTGTTCAATTAATGTCATGCCATAACAGGGACTCATAATGTACCAGTGAGGTTACCGGAGGACCAATTACACCCCTCCCCAATAATTCCGAAATTCCTAATCCCCAAAAGGCCGGTAACGCACTTGTAACTCCTCTGGTGTCCATGGGCAACGCCGATTGCTTACCATCAGGTGATCCGTCTGCTCGTTTACCGACTTAACCCATAAAAATAACATAAAAATTCCCCAAGTCGACAAATGTATATTATACATAAATTATTATGTTTTCGACTTACTCACGTAGTAATTTGACGAGGAACTCGACTAGTTTCATAGAGGCTCATATTCATGAGCAGCATTTCGCGACCCGCGACGCGGCGACTGTCGCGCTGCTACTGTAGTAGCATATGAGCCTCTAGCATAGCTCGAAACTAGTCGAGTTCCTCGTCAAATTACTACGTGAGTAAGCCGAAAACATAATAATTCATTTAGTATGTCTCACGAAAGTTACAATACAAATATATTATACATACCTTCAACAATAACCGTACAATATCAGCCTTCCCTTTAGCAGCCGCTTCATGTAATGGCGTGAATCTCCAAAGGTCGGCCGCGTTGACTCCAGCGCCGGCCGACACTAGGAGCTCCGTCAGCTCGTAGTGACCGTATGAACACGCGTTGTGGAGGGGGACTAGACCACTGAGGGGAAACAAGAGAGGTATTTTAAAAAATGAAGTAAAATAAAACATTAAATCAATTGATTATATGCATTAACGTGATATAGTAACACGGTCTTTCGTTGAAAAGACCATGGTCTTTCGTTGCAAAGACCATGGTCTTTTGAGTAGACCATAATATGGTGCTTAATTAAATTTAAAATGGATCGAAATATACGACTTATCTAGTTATACGGAACGCTCCCAAAACGCTGGATTAAAGAAATTGTTTTTACAATTTTAATCGTTTTAGAGAAGAAATTTCCTCATTTATAATATTAGTTTGGATTTTAGGATAACTTTTTTTTTGCTATCACCTGTCGCCGTTTTTGATACCGTTCCGTTTACACCCCGTATGAACTGGGCTCGACTAGTTTTGAAGTCATACTTACAGATTTTTTTAACACACTTCAATAAAGTAGGTTCTCAGCTTATTTCGCGATTGGCGAAACCGATTTTGATGCGGCGGAGAAGGAAGGCAGGCAGGTAGGGTGGTAGGTAGCTAGGTATATCAACCAGCTGTTGCCAGCGACTTCGTTCGCGTAAAATATGAATTTAAGGACATAACATTTTTTTGCTTCAATTTACCAAAATAAAAGCTTATGTTGCTCCTTAGTACAGACATAACATAACATCACGCCTTTTATCCCCGAAGGGGTAGGCAGAGGTGCACATTACGGCAATTAATGCCACTAGTACGTCAAAATCGGGGTAAGTAGTATAGTACGTCAAAATCGGTCCAGCCCTTCCAGAGGTTAGCCAGCAAACAGACAGACAGACAAAATTAAATTAAATTCTGCTTACCCCTTATCTTTAGCGTGAACATCGGCACCTCTTTGTAACAATAACTGAGCTAAAGGAAGACGGTTGTACCTGGAACAAACACAACATTATTATTATAGGATTGCCTCGTTGGCCGAGTGGTCGCAAGTACGACTGCCGGACAAGGGGTCGTTTTCGGAACGGGCTAAGTAGAAAGAAAGAAATAAATAAATAAAAATGGTTTATTTGCTCACCGTCACAAAGTACAATAACATAGATAGATAGATAGATAGATAGATATATTTATTTGTATAAACATGTGTGGGTAACATTATACATATCAATGCAAAAGCAGATGATAAAATAAACACTGTAACGTCTCAACATGTTTTGCCACAATTGGCGTACAAAATAATTATAAAATTTATAAATCTATTAAAGAGATAACTAACTATATGAAACAATGAACTTATAAATTATGATTTAAAAAATCCTTAATATGGTAATAACAATGCTTAATAAGTAAATTTTTTAGTTCTTTTTTGAACAAATTATTATTATTTATATTTTTCAAATTATGCGGAATTTTATTATATACTAAAGGTGCCATACAAAACACACTTTTACGGAGAAGTGCTGTTTTCGCAGAGTGAGGCTGTAGATAATGTTTATATTTCTTGCGTCTATTCCTAACAATATTATCTGCTAAGAGAGGAAACCAGAGAGGGTTATTTCTTACAAATAAAGCTATTTCTAAGATGCATAGTGACATACAAAAAATTAAACAGTGAAGACTGCGCAAAAAGCCCAGAGCTCAGCTTAAATACCGTGGCCCATGTGCAGTCGAGTCGCGGCGCTGATTTTCAGCACTTGCTTCATTTTAGATACTATTGGGTTTATAAAAAAAGTCTCAATAGTAGCACGGAGTCTGGAATTGTACCCGGTATATCGCAATACGCCCACCCCCTATTACATGGGACACATAACATAGATAGTGAAAAGTGGGTGTTACATTGTACAGTGGCATTAAGTGCCGTAATGTGCACCTCTGTCTACCCCTTCGGGGATAAAAGGCGTGATGTTATGTAACGTTTCATTTTGTCAGGGTTTCCGTTCACACCCAGTATAATAATAATGATGCTGAAGACTCACCCTGCCGCAAAGTGTAGAGGAGTGGAATGTCTCCCGTCCACGTCCCTGCAGTTGACGAGCCTGGGCCTGGCGTCCAGGATGGTGCGAGCGTTCTCCACGTCTCCTGTACGGGCTGCTTCCAACAGGCGCAGAGCCGCTGCGTTTGCGCAAGCATCTGTAGGAAAATCAAAAGGAGCGTGGTTAACATATTTTTGTTAAAATGTTTGTTTCTTGCTTTTCAAACGTAAGGATGCGATGAAAATGTAATTTGTTGAGTTTTTTTTTGTATGGCTTAAGCCGGGAAATGAGCAGATCGATCACCTGATGGTAAGCAATCGGCGTCGCCAATGAACACCAGGAACACCAGAGGCGTAACAAGTGCGTTACTGGCCTTTTGGGGATTAGGAATTTGAGGATTGTTGAAGATTCAGGGATTAAGGAGATTGGGGAAGGGGGGCGGGGGAAGGTTTTCGGTCACCTCACTCACGCGACGAAACAACGAAAGCGTTACAAGTGCGTTACTGGCCTATTAAGAATTGGGAACTTAAGGATTGTTGGGTATATTACCATCAGGCTGCGGATACATGGCATCAGCAGTGGTGTCAGCTCCGCACGCCAGTAGCAGTCTGCAGGCTGCGGCGGAGTCTCGTCGAGCTGCTACAGCCAGGGCGCTGGAGCCGCGGCCGTCGCAAGCGTTTACTTTTGCACCTGTAAAAAGGGATTGATAGTAACATTTGGTCAATTTTGGGAAGTCAGATCAACCATATTATGTGAATCGTTAGTCTCGCTAAATTTGTCTAATGTTGGTCTTGAAAAGTTCGCGGAAACGGTACGAAGTTTGCCGAGTCGGCTAATTTATTAATATTTATTAGATATTCATACATTTTATTATTAACTTATCACGCGTAAAAAAGAGATCCATGGCATTTAATTTCGCGTGTTTAATAGCGAAGTACAAAGAAGTATTAACAATCTTTGCATTTCAAAATCAACATCAATATCAAAGTCAAAGTCAAGATCAAATTTTTTTTAATAATTATTTCTGTTTTTTATTATCAACTCACCATGCCGTAATAACAGATCCATGGCATCTAAGTGTGCATGTTCGGTGGCGACGTGTAAAGGAGTCTGACCATCCTTGTTCTTCTCGTTCACTCGGGCACCCTTCCTGATTAGCATCTCCATTACCTAGAGACGAAATATTAATGTAGTAACCTCTCCTACATTTTAAGAAACTCTAAGCTAAGATAGGTGACACTTAACGATACTTTAGTTTTCACAAACATATATGTGACACCTAATAGTTCACAGCGCGGCTCCAACCCAGTAATTAAGTTGTCATTTAAATATGAACTTTAAATCGTATGTCGTATGATATCTATACTAATATTATTAAATTGAAGAGTTTGTTTTTTTGTTTGTTTGTTTGAACGCGCTAATCTCCGAAACAAGTAGTCCGATTTAAAAAAATATTTCTGTGTTAGATAGCCCATTTATCGAGGAAGGCTATAGGCTTTTTTTTATGGGACAAGCCCGCCACAACCTCCCAAAACCGCTGCAACTCCTGTAAGCCAGGATCTACAGTAGATACAACCATGAAAACACCGGAACACTGAAGTCCGGCGCGTCCCAGGGACATGAGTAACTGTCTTGGTTCCCGCAACGAAGTGAATCAGAAGATATTATAAGAGGAGAAGAAGAAAAAGGCTATAGGCTATAAAATATCACGCTAAGATTAATAGGCGCCGCGCAGAGGGAGTGAAACCGCGCGGAAGTAGCTAGTATTTCATAAAATCTGCACACCGTCAACGCCCCGACGACGCGACGTCGAGCCGCCCGCCAGGCGCGACCGAAACAACGTCGCATCATACGTAGATGTTGGTGGCAAAAATCTTCCACCACGCGAGCGACACGCCGTAACCGCGCTGGCGGCAACGGTTTTTTTTTTTTTTTAAGGGGGAACATCATCGAATGTCTGCTCCCGCCTGGGTGAGGCGGGAGGGAGTGTCAGTCTCTTACTGACTAAAAACCACCCCGTTCCTTCTCCTGCACGTCGAGCAGGAGCCCCGGTAACCCGTTAGGTTCTCCGCTACTCATGATAAAGGATTCTTTATCACTTAATGCCACTGTACAATGTAACACCCACTTTTCACTATTTATGTTTATATGAGTCCCATGTAATAGACGGTGAGCCAATTGCCATATACCGGGCACAATAGGGTAGATGCCTAATTTTTATTTTAATGTCCGTCTGGTAGATTATTTTAAATCATTAGACACGTTGACCTTTTTTTTCTTAATTATGTTTTTTTTTTTTTTGATTAATGACCTTAAGGTGTTAGCTTAGGTGCTCCCAAAGAGATGGTTTAGGACTACTCCTATTTTACTTACGTAAAATTGGCCATGACACTCCCTCTCGCCTCATCCAAGAGAGGAGAAGTCATTTCGCATCTTTAAAGTAAAACCGTTATTAAACGAAAATTTTAATGAATTGATTTAATGCCATCAAATTATTTTAGGCTTTTTAAATAGTCAATTTATGTAAATACTCAATTCATGAAAACTTTCGTTTAACTCGTTGAGTACCGTCATTATAGACACAATTAAAGAAAAATAGGTTACGGTCACCGGTATCCTCGCGGTGTTTGACAGTTTAAACTGTCAAACACCAAGCGGTATAATTGTGTCTATAATGACGGTACTCGACGAGGTAATAAAGGTTTTAATTTAAAGGTGCGATTTGATCATTATGCCCCTCTCCCTCTCTCTCTCTCTCAAATGGTTATCGCGATCATCCAGTTCGCATCCTCACCTGTTTCCGCTTGGGGTACACGCTGGAGGCGGCGCAGTGTAGAGGCCTGTCCCCCGTGCCAACATGCTGGAAGTTGACCAGGGCTTCCACGCTACATTCTCCAGGCAAAGACGGGGTGCTACCACTAGTCGATGCTTGGGAGTTCTGGAAAAAAAATTACATCAATTCAGGTATAAGTGGGGGAGAGCCATGCTTCGGCACGAATGGGCCGGCTCGGCCGGAGTGATACCACGGCCTCACAGAAAACAGACGTGAAACAACGCTTGCGTTGTGTTTCGTCGTGTGAGTGAGGTGACCGGAGGCCCAATTAACCCCCTCCCTTGTCCCCGTCTCCCGAATCCCCGAATCCTCCACAATCCTCAAATTCCCAATTCCTAAAAGGCCGGTAACGCACTTGTAACGCCTTGGTGTTTCGAGTGTCCATGGACGGTGCCGATTACTTACCATTAGGTAATCAGTCTGCCTGTTTACCGGCTTATGCTATAAAAAAAATAAACATTATTTTTAAACCGCTCACCTGATGTTGATGTCCTGATACAGCCGTCAGCTGTTTCTTCACCCTGGCCGGCTCAGCCAGTCTGCAGGCTTCCAGTAGACAATGGCCACGGTACTCGACTGGAGAAAAATGAAATAAATATGAAACCGATCATGCTAAATTGTTAGACAATGTGTCTTTGATGTGAAGTGACACTTGTGTCACAATAAACCCAATAGACATGGCGACTATTTTTTAATTTTTTGTCCGTCTTTTAGATATTTTAAAAATCTTCGATACGTATTTTTTCTTTTTTCTCGTATCCAAAAAAACATGTAGATATTTTGAGTTAAAATGACGCGTGACGTCACACTTAGGTACGATTTCTCCGTAAGTGTGACGTCAACACCCCCCACTCCCTAACTTTAATGCGGAATAACTACGTATTCTTCTGTTAATTTGATAAAACAAAAAATACGTGTCTGATATTTTCGTGCGATCTTAATGACGGACTAATTACTTTTTTGATTTTTTTACCCTGTCGACACGCCTATTGTCTCTAATGCATGAAAAGCGGGCGTCCGAGCCACCACGACTCCAGTTCTAGTTTTATGGATATTATAATGGTAAGTATATGAATAAGTTTTTTAATCAAAATACTCACAAGCCAGCCTCTCTTGAAGTTCCCTAGTAGGAGCTACGTCCAGCGCGGACTTCCCGTGGCAGTTCAGCAGAGTAGGATCCGCGCCCTCACTCAGGAGGAGAGAACACACCTACAAATAAATATAATTATGTGAATTACTTTAAAAAATACTTCGTTGGCCGAGTGGTCGAATCCCCAACAATCCTTAAATTTCTAATCCCTAAAAGGCCGGTAACGCACTTGTAACGCAATTTTTGGGACAAGCCCGCCACAACCTCCCAAAACCGCTGCAACTCCTGTAAGCCAGGATCTACAGTAGATACAACCATGAAAACACCGGAACACTGAAGTCCGGCGCGTCCCAGGGACATGGATAACTGTTTTGGTTCCCGCAACGAAGTGAATCAGAAGATATTATAAGAGAAGAAAAAAACTATAGTTTCCACTTGTAACGCCTCGGGTGGTATAGGTGTCCATAAACAACGCCGATATCTTACCATCAGGTAATCCGTCTGCTCGTTTACCGGCTTGTCCCTTAAAAAAGAAACTTTCGCAATTATAATTAATATTAGTAAGATTAACAAATATATACCTCCAATCTCGCTTTGCTAGCTGCCTCATGTAGCGGTGTGAAGGCCCAAAGGTCGGTAGCGTTAACATCAGCGCCAGCGCGAACTAGTAACTCTGTGACCTCGTAGTGACCGTACGAACACGCGTTGTGGAGAGGGACTAGACCTCTGGGGGGAAAAAAGAGAGGTATTTAAAAAAATGAAGTAAAATAAAACATTAAATCATTTGATTATATGCATTAACGTGATATAGTAACACGGTCTTTCGTTGAAAAGACCATGGTCTTTTGAGTAGACCATAATTTTGTGACTAAGTATTTTAATTTTACATACTGTAATACAGGATATAGACGCCTGATTTTTAAAATAAATCTTATATTTTAGTTGACAACGATATTATTATCACTAATGCCCTATTTTTCTTAATAAACTACGGTCTTTTCACTAAGTAGACCATGGTCTTCTCAGTAGACGATGATCTTTTCACTTCAAAAACTCACCCTTTATCCTTAGCATGTACATCAGCGCCTCGTTGTAGCAGTAATCTTACAGCTCTTGCCCTATTATACCCAGCGGCAAGATGTAAGGGGGTAGACCGTCTGCCGTCGCTAGCGTGGACGTTAACGTTAAGAGGGGTCAGCAGAGACGCTAGTCGGTCGTCGGCTCCCGACCTAGCTGCTTCTAGGACATCCGCTGCACAGTATTCACCTGGGACAAAAGATTTTTATGAATGTGATGGAAGCTAAAGCGAAGAGCTAACTAACTCACATAGGGACTGTAAAGAATTTGTTTTATAGCATAAGCCGGTAAACGAGCGGACGGATCACCTGATGGTAAGCAATCAGCGCCGCCCGGTTTCTTCAAGGTCATAACATTTGTAAAGTAAGGTTCGTTTCTCACCTGTCAACACAGGCCTGGTAGCGGAGTCTGCTAGGTCGAGGGGAGTCTTGCCTTCCGTGTTACGGATATTCGGATCAGCACCGTGTTGCAGCAACGCTGTGTAAAAAATTGTACATCATCATCATCAACAGCCTATAAATGCCCACTGCTGAGCAAAGCCTCTTCTCACACGAAGAAGGTTAGAGCGTTAATCACCACGCTTGCTCAATGCGGGTTGGTGATTTCAAACTTATAATTAGAAATTATAAGTCCAGGTTTCCTCACGATGTTTTTCCTTCACCGTTTGTCAGTGGTGTCTAAATAATCTTAGAAAGTACATATAACTCGGAAAAAGTCACATTGGTACTTGCCGTTGGTAGGTTTGGAACCCGCACCCTCATGCATGAGAAGTGGGCGTCTTAAACCTCCGGGCCACCACGACATTCATGAAAAATTGTACATTTACGTATATTAAACATGGTTTCCCGCACGGAACAATTCTTTATTTGATCCACAGATTGTTGTTCCGGGTCTGGGTGTGATGTGTATGTGAACTTGTATGTTTGTAAACGCACCCACGATACAGGAGAAAATCCTAGTGTGGGGCAATTTAAAAAGTTTCATGCATGTGGACATCTACCATGAATCAATGACGCTGCGCGCATTGTCTTGTGGTACAATGATGGAAAGGACTAGGGGGAATCAGTTTGTGCAATTCAACCGAAAGGCTTTTTTTAACGGGGGAAAATCATCGAATGACTGCTCCCGCCTGGGTGAGGCGGGAGGGAGTGTCAGACTCTTACTGACTAAAAACCACCCCGTTCCTTCTCCTGCACGTCGAGCCGGGGCCCCGGTTACCCGTTACGTTCTCCGCGACTCCGAACCGGCATCGGCCCTGTTGGACCCCATCTGTGGTGGTCTGATGGCTCTTTGAGGCGCGCGCGTAACGCGACGCACCGTACGCTCGGGAACCGAAAGGCTAGCAACCTTACTCCTGCCAGTTCCAATAGAACTCAAAATACACTCACCAATACATACATCCACCTTGCCCTTGGCAGCTGCTTCATGCAAGGGCGTATACCCCCAATTGTCTCTAGCGGCTGGAGCAGCTCCAGCTCCTAACAGCGCCCTGACCACGTCAGCGTGGCCGAAGGAGCATGCGTTATGCAAAGGCTGTAATCCACCATCGTCGCGGGCCTGTAACGCTGCACCGGCCGCTATCAAGATTTCTACTACCTCCCTGCGACCGTATCCTGGAAGATATCAGATGGTTATAGTTATATTTCTGTATTCAGATATTATTGTTATTTGTAAATCAAAGTCTGCCTCGTTGGTCGATGGTCGCAAGTGCGACTGCTGAGCAAGGGGTCTTGGATTGGGTTACCAGGTCGGGCAAAGTATTACTGGGTTTTTAAAAAATTCTCAATAGCAGCATGGAGCCGGGCACAATAGGGTAGACGACTAATTTTTATTTTAATGTCCGTCTGGTAGATTATTTAAAAATATTAGACACGTATTTTTTTATTTTGTTGTATAATAAAACAATACTTAGATAAAACGAATCAAAGTTTAGGAGTGGGGGCTAAAACGTCATTTCTTAGTATAAAATGTACTGAGAAGTGACGTCACGCGACATTTCAAATCAATATATCTTCGAAACTATTCGTTTCCGTAAGAAAATAAAAAATACGTGTCTAATGTTTTTAAATAATCTACCAGACGGACATTAAAATAAAAATTAGTCGTCTACCCTATTGTGCCCGGTATATGGCATGCTGCATAAACTTAACACAGTTAAAATTAACTTTATGCTTAGAACATACACGAGCGAACCCAAGCGCAGGAAGCTAGTATACAAACAATTTAGAAACTCAAACTCATAAGCATTTATTGCAATTAAACCATAATTTGGTACTTTTGAAACGTCAACAAATATAAAATAAATAATAGTCTGTCGGTCAGTCCATCAATTAAGCTAGGCTCTTGATCCAAAATGTAGATTCGAGTGGAGAAGAACGAGCACAAAACTACATTCGTTACTTTTTTTTAAAAAAGTATGTTCTACAATGTCTTTGATACATATTCCAATACTGTACCGACTGTACGTATATGTGAGAACAATGTAAAGACACGCTTGACGAATTATACTAATTACAAAACTTACTAACATAAAAAACAATAATAAAATATCTTAGTCTAACATGGCGCTCATTGAAAATAAAAAGTGCACTATATTACGCAAAAACACCGAAAAATAACAGACACAAAAATTCAACAATCTATTGTTCTTCAGCCAATATCCTTCACCTTGAAACAAAACGATTTCACTTCTTAAACTGAAATGTAATAAAAGAATCACTTTGTAGATCTAATAAATAATTAATTGCATATCTTTGCAAATTAATTACCTAGCTACCTCGTTGCTCAAGCGATAACAAGCGTTTTGTTTTTATAATAACTATCGTGAGACACATACTAAATTAACTAAAACGGGTTACTCACGTCAATATACTGAGAAAAGCTCTACTAGTTTCGAACCACAGAGGGGTTCTTCCTCAAGAGCAGCGTGCGCGGTCGCGGCGACGTCGCGCAGCTGGCGTTGGAGTTGGAGGCAAACAGTCGTAGTGTCCGACAGAGGGCGCGTTGGTCTCGCAACGCAAGTAGCAACACCGAGGCGAGCGCCAACGCCAGCCAGTCAGCTGCGCAACGTCACCACGACCGCGCACGCTGCTCATGAGGAAGAACCCCTCTGTGGTTCGAAACTAGTAGAACTTTTCTCAGTACATTCACGTGAGTAACCCGGAATTTTACAAGCGTTTTAACTAGTTGAGGGAGGGAAAATCATCCAGTGACTCTCGTCTTGAATCCTCCCAACGATTACACGACGAAGATAGGTTGGCACGGAGTTAAACGCATTGACGACGTCCAAAGACACCGCCACTACGACCTTACACCTTTTTTTTGTGGGGGGAAATCATCGAATGACATCTCCCGCCTGAGCAAGGCGAGAGAGAGTGTCAGAATCTTACTGACTAAAAACCACCCCGTTCCTTCTCCCGCACGTCGAGCCGGAGCCCCGGTTACCCGTTAGGTTCTCCGCGACTCCGAATCGGCATCGGCCTTGTTGGGCTCCATCTGTGATGGTCTGATGGCTCTTTGAGGCGCGCGCGGAATGCGACCCGCCGTACGCTCGGGTCTGTTTCTGGTCGGACGGGAAGCCACCTATGCTCGCCGTTCGCAGGCCCGCGCTTACGGTGGCCGGAGATCGCCCCGCCCGCCCTGCTCGGTGTGTCCTTCGCGATGGCTGGATTGCGAGGAGGCAGTCGCTGCCTCACGCGTCCTGCCTCCTCCTTAGCTAGCATGACTGCTTTGCAAAAGGAAGAGACGGCATCCCAGTCCCCCTCGCTCCGCATCATGACCTGAACTAGGCCCGAACGCGAAAGGTCGCCATCGCACGACCTTACCCCTGGAGACTGGGCACGCAGTCCTTGTCGTGAGGTCTCTAACGACTATTACATTGCCTTTCGATAATTTATTAAATTGGACTTCAAAGTTCGTATGAAAAATGCCGCGTAAATGTTCGTAACACGAAACGACTAACTAGGCATAATAAATATTCATATGACACCTCTATTGATCAATAACTTATGTAAAAGTCAAGATTTCTATTCTAAAAATATAAATTCATTTGTTAAATATTACATAATAAAGTCGATCAGATACATAATGCAATGATTTAGAATTTAAATTGCAATAAATAAGAAGTATGCAAATCAAATTGGATATTGGCACGGATGGACCAATTTATGTATGTAAGAATCATAGCAACTGGCGTCGTGGTGGTCGTGAATTTATTTCTGTGAAGTTAACAGTAAAAGACTGTAAGTTTTCTGATACCACAACCTCACAGAAACTTCGTCATAAAACAATATTTGTGTTATGTATAACCCTGTGAGTGTCTGGGAGTGAGAGAGAGGGGGGCCTCTCTCTTACCATTCCCCAAATCCTCAGTCTTCTAATCCCTAAATCCCAAAAGTCAGGCAAGCACGCCACAACCTCTCAAATCCGCTGGAACTCCTGTAAGCCAAGATATACAACCATGAAAACACCGGAACACTGAAGTCCGGCGCGTCCCAGGGACATGAATAACTGTCTTGGTTCCCGCAACGAAATAAATCAGAAGATATTGTTAGAGGAGCAGAAAAAAACGATACATTCTAATTCCCTCAGTGAATTTATATTCAAGAGACCGAATGAAGCATGAAAGAGACCAAACCGACAATGCACTTGTAACTTCCCTGGTTTTAAGGATATGTATGGGCGACGCCGATTGCTTACCATCAGTGATCTATCAACTCGTTTGTCTATTCCATAAAACAAAATGTCATGTTATGCATAAGTGTCGTGGTAGCCCGAAGGTTAAGACGCCCGCTTCTTATGTATGAGGGTGCGGGTTCGAAACCTACAAACGGCAAGTACCAATGAGACTTTTCCGAGTTACGTGTACTTTGTAAAATTATTTAGACACCACTGACAAACGGTGAAGGAAAACATCGTGAGGATACCTGGGCTTATAATTTCTTATTATAAGTTTGAAATCGTCAACCCGCATTGAGCAAGCGTGGTGATTAATGCTCAAACGTTCTCCGTGTGAGAAGAGGCTTTGCTCAGTAGTGGGCATTTATAGGCTGTTGATGTGATGCATAACTAAATCCATGTTTAGTTATAATCTATGAGTCACACATGTTTTGTAATTTTATTAATCAGAAACACTTGAATATTCACTGAAATCGTTTCACTGATAACAAAATTTAATAAGACTTGGTCTTTGCGATAATGATAACATATAATATTTTAGGTAGGGAAAATGGGAGATGTGCCGACCACCAGTAACTTGGGATCCAAGCGCTCTTGAAACCAATTTCAATGTAATGGGGCCTACCGTGTTTTGCTCAGTAGGTGGCGCTAGTGTGTGCGCCTCGTTCCTTACCCAATAGGCAATTAGCTAGTGCCACACCATTTTTTTTTTATATCAATAACTGTAATATAAAAATGAATGACCTCTGAGTTTGTGTCGGTGTTTCTTCTCAGAGTAGTCAGTTAGGAAATGCCGGCCCTCGTTTACCGCCGGCACACTTTACTATTTTTTATTTTTTTATAACTTTTAAATTACTATTTAAAAGTTGACGTGTAAAGTGTTACTTTGTAACATATTTGCAGGAATAATTATCATTTCATTACATTTTTTTAATGGATTAGGAGGCAAACGAGCTGACGGATCACCTGATGGTAAGCGATCAGCGCCGCCCATGGACACCCGCAACACCAGAGGAGTCACATGTGCGTTGCCGCCCTTTTAAAAAGGAATACGCTTTTTTCTTGAAGGTTTCGTTTCATTTCATTTGTAAAACAAACAAAAAAATTGACAACACGGTTAGTGCGGTGGCTGGGCAACCGGCTGCAACGCAACGTGTTGCGAGTTCGATTCCTGCACGGAAAAACTCTTTGTGTAATCCACAAATTTTTGTTCAGTCTGGGTGTATGTGAACTTGTATGTTTGTAAACGCACCCAGGACACAGGAAAAAATCCTAGAGTGAAGCATAAAAAAAAATTGGCAAAATCGATTCAGCTGTTCTCGAGATTTACGCTTAGTAACAAATTGAGTGATTCATTTTTATATTATAGTTATTGATATTAATAAGCACTTTTATTTATATTGACTCAGCTGTTTGAGTCATCCCACTAAGCCAATATAATAGTCTATACATTTCTTCAATTTGAAGTTTTAGTTATTTTATTTTAGTGAATGGTTTTTTGGTAATATTGTTATAAATAGATATGAACTACCTTGGGGTAGATTCCCGAGTCGGACAAATTGTTACTGAGTTTTGCAATAATTCCCAGTAGTAGGATGAAGTCTGAATTATGCCCCATACATGGCAAAAGGCTCACCCCCTATTACATGGGACTCATAACATAAATAGTTAAAAGTGGGTGTGACATTGTACAGTGGTATTAAGTGCCATAATGTGCACCTCTGCCTACTCCTTCGGGAATTAAAAGGTGTGACCTTCACAGACAGACAGACTGACATACTATTATTTATTTCATATTTGTTGACGTTTCAAAAGTACCAAATTATGGTTTAATTGAAATAAGTGCTTTTGAGTTTGAGTTTGAGTGACATTATATTATGTTCCATAGATTTGAATTGTACTGTTACTGGTGACTATATGTCTGACATACAACACACAGCTGTAACTACTAAACATGACACGCAGCACAAGGGCGTAGGGCAGTGACAAGAGAATGTTTTTTGCTTTGCTTTACGGTATCTTAACCCATTGAAAATTGATGAAAATCATCCCCTAGATTTGTTCATACTGAAGTAGTCTCAAAACATTGGAAATAAGGTCTATAATGTAGTTATTGGAGAGCGGTCACCCATTACCGCTTTGGGAAATACGGGTTAAAAGCTGTACTCCAATTGGTAAAATTGGAAACAACAAAAAGTACAATTTTTAAAATAATTTTTATTTAGTATTATGCTAGTTTGCATAATCCATGTTCATACAAAAGAAGTCAGGGTCAGTGGTAAGAAAGATCATAATCTAGAAAAGGCTATATAAAGGGTATTAAAACCTTACCTTCAAAATAGCCACAACAATCAATAGACAATGGGCAACACATTAAAAAAAATACAAAGATACAGCCTAACCAAACTAAAACTTTTTACATACTGGTCGCATAACACTGTCTACCCCAGAACGGATCGGATATATCGTGATAACGAGCAAAAATTACTAGAGCGTGGAACATATTACGTGAACTCGAAATTTTTGGGTCTCACAAAAATAAATTTCGTCATCACAACATTATGTCAGTAAAGCAACAAATAAAACACAACAAAAGGCATAAAACACGAATCGCCAATAGACTGGCGTTACTAATTATGCAATTTTTTTAATGTTTCTCTTCACTTCCTACTTAGGACTGTCCTTTCACTACTTTTCAAAAACAGTGCATTATGACGAAATTCACGTGTGTTTATGGATTGTTTGTTTTTAATTACCTGCAGCGAAGTGTAGAGGAGTCGACTTTCGTCCAGCCGTATCCCTGGCATTCACCGTTTGAGGAGTAATTAACTTTTTTACTCGAACAGCATCGCCAGTTTTGCATGCCTCAAATAATTCACGGAGAGGATCTGACGGTGGTGGTAGAGCGTCAAGCGCCGATCCGAGTATCGAACGACGGCTCGACATGATTATTTCGCGTTTCACATTTAATTTTCGTGTTTTAAACGCACATTATCGAGATATTATTAAATAAAAACACGTATAGCACAGCTGCTTGCTACCTTTATTTGACAATTGGTTTTGGGGTTACTACTCTAAATTTTTATTACCCTTCTTAATGATGTACCTCAGATGACAGTAATAACTGAACTATATAAAAAAAGAAGGAGGTTCTTAGTTTGACCTGTAAGATTGTGATGTCCGTGTTCACATTTTCTTTTATACAGGTTGTCCCTGAAGTCGACATTCTACAATTTTCTTAGTTAAAAAAACGTTGCCCCACACTAGGATTTTCTCCTGTGTCGTGGGTGCGTTTACAAACATACAAGTTCACATACACATGACACCCAGACCCGGAACAACAATTTGTGGATCACACAAAGTGTTGTTCCGTGCGGGAATCGAACCCGCGACACGTTGCACGGCAGCCGGTTGCCCAGCCACCGCACCAACCGTGCAGTCAGTGCAGCAGTTTTAACTAAGAAAAAAAAAATAAGAAGAAATTATACTCACAAAAACAATCCCAGGTCGAGTAATTGATTTATCGAAACCAGCTTTTTATAAGAGTATTTTATGGCAAGGCCCATTGTCCTCATAACCGCACGCTAACGTCGGCGTCGGTCAGATTGTAGCATAGGGTGTGCAAGAGATTTGGAACTTTTCATCAAAAATGAAAATTATCGCTAGTTTTTCATTTCCATTGCTTAGTATACCTAAAAATAAAGTGAAAATCATCTAGGCACTTTCTGCCTAAGACTTCAGGTTCGTCTAAAAATGAGCTCTAAAGGTCAGTTGGCGGAGTATGAAAAAAGCACTTTTCAGCGCTCGGTGGCTGCTGCCACAGCACAGCTCGCTACGCTCGCTCACCTCGCGCCTTGTGAGGGTCACAGTTCTAACCTAACCTAACCAAATGTGTCGGGTTGCCCAAAATGTGGTTTTACATACTGAGCCAACTGACCTTTATGCCTCATTTTCAGATGAACCTGAAGTCCTATATAAAATGTGTCCAGCCAGATAATTTTCACCATATTTTTAGGTATATCAAACGACAGAAATAAAAAACCAGCAAATTATAAGAATTATCATTTTTGATGTCCTAAACTCCTTGCACATCCTTTGCTACACTTTAACCCAAACGTCAATTGACGATTTCATGACGAATGCTTGCATCTTGCGCAGAAGCAATCAAAACTGTGTTTCCCGTGTCCCTCGGAACGGCAACGTTGCGTAGTGTCACTCACTCGCAAATATACATTTTTAGGCTTTTTTGTCACACATTTGATCCTTAATATCGTTATTCATTAGTTGATCAAATGATGTATCGTGGATACACGTTTGATTGTTTGTTGATTGATTGACTGGATGCAGGTTGCTTCCAACCGGTCTATTATCATTGGGGAAGGCCTTTGTCCAGCAGTGAACATCTTGTGACTGATGTAACGATGAATATGCTGATGATGATGATGATGATAAAAGACTTTTGATAATTTATTTATTTACTTAAATGGAATAATGAAACCTACAAAATTTCCCATAATTTGGGGATTTTTTTTGTAGACTATTCTTAACGCCATAAACAACATTGTTGTGGTCCAATTTTTTTAATTGTTTCCAAAATACTAGAAGTTTTTATTTCCTGGTATTGTTTGGTAAAGTTATTTAATTTTAGTATCATTATTAATTACTGTTTTCGAAAAATTTCAACCCAATGTAATAAATAGAAACACTTTTTACACCATGTGACCAAAAATTTATTACGGTTACGTTTTGTTTCGTAGCTTGAACTGTTCGATACTTAGACATTGTTCTTATATACCATAATTAACTTCCTTCCTTTATGTACCCAATGTTTAATATTACATCCATGTAATTTCACAAGGTTATATATTGTCGGTACTTCAAGATAGTATGTAGCAAAAATAGGTCTGATTGAAAAATATGAAAATCTTTCGCAATAACAAACCGTTTATTCTATCTTGTCTATGGCCTTTAGTTGACGAAATCAAAATGGCGTCTTTTACGGGCTAGCGCTTATCCGCCGCATACTGAATACCGTTTCCTAAAATCGTGGGTGTAACTATTTGTTAGTGATTATAACAATTTGTGAACGACTATTTAGTGTTGAAGTGTATTTTTTTTTACTACGGACTCTTGGATATTGTTTCGACACATCTATACGAGCTCCGTCAAAGGTATGTCTCCTTTCACCTATCGTATAATAAATATTGATAATCGTCATATTATCGGGAAGTCGACGTAAAAACTTGCGTTAGTTTCTCGTAGAGCAGTATCTGTGGCGCGTGGATATTGTATTATCGCGGACGGAAGCCCCGTTCTTTAGATTAGTAGGTGAATGAGGATTGAGGGAACAGGTTTTTTTTGAGTCGAGGACGCAGTTGCGAGGTTGGATCAGCTCTTCACTTTTGTCGGTTCCTCATTCTTGTCGCGCGTCGCACCGTCTACGGGTTCGCCAAAGTGTTATATGTACAAATATTAGCCCGTACGTAGAACGTGTTTTAACTTAATTAGTGGTCAGGCGCGGTCGCCCCGCAGTTTCTCTAATTTCTCGGGCAAACGTTCCAGTGTTTGTGTTTTCTCGTATTTGGATTGCAGTGTTGTGATTTTGCAGTGTGCCAGATCGATAATCGAAAGTTTTAAAGCTATAAAACAAGGTAATGAACTATTTGTTTCTATGTCAGTTGAAAATATTTGAAATATTAGAGTTTGGATCGAGCTTATGCCTATTACGGCCAATTAGCGCGTATTAGTGGCACTAATTAAAATAAATACTTGTTTCCAACCAGTCTTTTGGTGATTAGTTTTGGTTTTAGAGTATTTTCTATGATATAAGGTGCTGGAAATGAGGTTTTAATCCAAAGTTAACATTAAAATTATGGATAAATATACATTCAAGTCAATTATGGTATAAGTGAGTCATTTGACAGGATGTACAGTTGATATTAAAACATACATTACACACTATCACATAATATCCATTAAAGATATTTTCAAATATTATCATTATACAGAATATTTAATTGGGTAGCTTCCTCAGTTGAAAACTGATTGACTCAACTTTGTGGTACTAAAAATATTAATAAACGATCATTTTTCATTCATTTATTTGATGTTATACTTGGAACCCTATATTTTAATATCTGTTTAAAAAAAAATAGGACCTCAATTCACAATATTAATAGAAAACTATCATACTGATGTTCATTAATGTAATTTTCTAGCTATTTGTGGTTGAAAACAGGTTTAATTAGACCTAATTGGTGTCATAATAAAAGTACCTTTTTATTGAAGAACTGTAAATAAGTTTATTAGTTCAATAATTTTTTAATAATTAGGTTCGTTTGGTTCTTATTAGTACTATTTTAATGTTTATGTTTGTTAGTCTTTCACATTGCAATTGTTGTTTATACTTAAGAGATTAAAGAGTGATATACTTACACCAAAATTAATAACCAATCACAATTCAAAATACATGAATTGATCTCCATTTTTGACAAAATCTCCATTCAACATACATACATAACTTCACGCCTGTCTCCCATGGGGGAGGGCAGAGACTAAGGAACGCCAATTACTACGATTCTTACATACCTCTTTCGCTTCATTAACAGTCATCAATCTTTTCATGCATGCTCGTCGGTTAAGGGTACTTTTAATTTGGCCCTTCTCTAATATATCGCCAATCTGGTCACTATATGTCCGTCTAGGGCACCCTCTACCGACGGCCCCATTCATATCCGGTCTGTATACTTCTTTCGTTACTCTACTTTCATCCATCGTTTCTACATGTCCAAACCAGCAGTCTCCATTCAAGTAATGTAAAAATTGATCTTACTTTACATTTTTACTCGATGAACAAAGATACAGGTAATTGCTATATAGCACATGCCATCTTGCACGAGAACCTGGTGTCATAACCTCAGGGCCACCACAATATTTAACTAAGACTTGGAACAACAATTTGTGGATCATGTGAATTGTTGGCAAAAATTAAAAAAAAGCATGCTACAAATTAAATTGTGATATATTGGACAGTGGCCAGTGGATCAATCTACTCAAAACTCGGTCAAAGTTATTCATTGGATTTTCGACTTAATGTTAATACAATAAAGTTGAAGATGTAATAGATGAACTTGATATAAAAGGATAGGTTGACTTGCCAACATATAATCATACACACATTCATACATAACTTAACGCCTGTGTCCCATGGGGGTAGGCAGAGACAATGGATCGCCAATAACTACGATTATTACATGCCTCTTTCGCTTCATCAACAGTAATTTTTTCATGCATGCTCGTTGGTTAAGGGCACTTTTAATTTAGGCCCTTCTTTCTTTAATATATCGCCAATCTGGTCAGGACATAATAATATGTCCTATGCCTCCTACATATACATACACATTTATTTATTTATAAACTATGTACATTATTGTACATACTACTATCATTACAGGAACTAAATTTATAACATTAAATTACAAAGTCTCTATTTTACAATTAGGTACTACAACATTAATTATTATGGAAACAATCATGTTCCTTATGCTAAGTCACAGATGGGTACAGGTACAGTAACAGGCTCTTCTAAATCACTACCCCTCAAAAACAACTTAAGCAAAATCCAAAAGTAATCAAATTGGAAACTTTCATTTCAGTTACCTATCGAACCTACTTTCAGAATATCTTGCAGTTATCTCTTATCTCTAAGGAGTCTGTTATCTCAAGTACCATCGCTGTTATCTCTGCCTTGAGTAGATAAATAGCGAATTTTAGCTTGATATAATATTGTTATGGCATTAATGTTTCTGTGGGGTATGTAGATGTTATCATTTTTATAATTCATTGAAAATATTTGTCCTAGTTTAGGATGTTCTCCTGTGCTGCTGCGTTTACAAACATGCTATATCACATACACATGACACTCGGACTCTGAAGAACAGGTTGTTGTGTGCAAATATGGAACAGATGACAATATAGTTCTGTTTATTTCACAGCATCATTCGTACATTTTATCTAAATTACGTCACAAATAATGAGAAATAAGAAATTGATATTACTTAATGACGTAATTTAATAACGTCACCATCCTGTTCTGTTACTTATTATTGTTGGGTTAATAATTATTATAATTCGCACTAGATGACACATATACCCATAAAGTTATGCTTCCATCAAGAGATTGATGGGCTTTTATAATTACTATCGTCAGACATACTAAATTAACTACAAATCGCGCGTTACTCACGTGAATATACCGAGAAAAGCTCTACTAGTTTCGAACCACGGTCGCGGCGATGTCGCGCAGCCTACTGTAGGTAGTCAGACCGCGCACGCTGCTCATGAGGAAGAACCCCTCTGTAGTAGATTGATGGGCTTTTTCAGTAATCTTATGTAACACAAAAAGCGATGTTTCACGTCGGTTTCCTGCGAGCCGGTCTTTCAAAGCCAAAATATGGCAATCTTCACGCATCTCAAAAGGTTTCTCAGGGCCCAATACCACTGGCCCCCAAAACTCAACACACCCAGTAATTCTGCAAGGTAGTGGGAGTATATGGATGGCAGCGGTCGCTTACAATCCTGTAAAAAAACTGTATAATAGTGCCAAAGCATGGCTTTATCACATGGAAAATTTTCATGCATTATCACATGGGACACGAGTCCACCTATTTCCTGAAGCCTTATTACTTGTACATATAACAGACTGTACCGACAGCTTAAATAAAATCCAATAACAAGTTTATACTCAAAGTATACTTTATCCTATTGTATTAAAGACGATTTTACTGTAAATTGGACATGAGCTTCAATTGTTCGGTTGTAGAGTAATAAATCAATAGAATAATTAGGGGGCTTAGGTCTTCATTCGATAATCTGTTTCGTTTACCGAGAGGCTCCTGAGGTGAACGAAGTAACATTAGTGCCCGTTTTTACCAATATCTTCTAAAATTTACAGAACCCAGCTAGGATGGGTGACGTGTAACGATATACTGGTTTTAACCATCTTCCAAGTGACGCATAACTGTACTCGGCACGAATGGGCCGGCTCGACCGGAGTGATAACACGGCCTCACAGAAAACCGACGCGAAGCAACGCTTACGTTGTGTTTCGTCGTGTGAGTTAGGTTACTGGAGACCCACCCTCAAACTCCTAATCCCCAAAAGGCCGCACCGTAACGCACTTGTAACGCCTGTGGTGTTCCAAATGTCCATGGGCGACGCCGATTGCTTACCATCAGGTGATCCGTCTGCTCGTTTACCGGCTTATGCTATAAAAAAGTAAGGGGTTTCGTTAAGTGCTATTGTACAGTAAGTAATTCTTAGTTAAAAGATGTTTGGAAGTGGTGAAGACCTTACATAAGAAGTGTACTCAAAGCATGGCAATAGGCTTGCTTCCTATTCCCGGCAAGGGCTCTTTATAAAGCGCAATATGTTACCACGCTCCCGGCTCGAAGCAGGAGTAGGAACTGGGTGGTATTTTTTTAGTATCAGTCTGACACTCCCACTCGCCTCACTCAAGGCGGGATAAAGTCTTTTTATGATTTTCCCTCTCAAAAAATGTGTGGCGACACATGTCCCATTCCAAATGACAGTTCACGCACATAGATTATCAATGAAATAAATCAACGAATGACGACAAAAAATCCTATATCGCACATGTGAAGTTTACATGCGAATTAACACGGATAGAAAATCCCAACGAACAGCTGTTGGGCAGAAAGCCCGCCAGGCACGATCACCTCGCCTGCTCGGAGGATCCTCCTTTTCCGATCTTAGGGAACTATATTCTCTGTTCCTTTTTTTTTTGAGAGGGGAAATCATCCAATGACTTCTCCCGCCCGGGTGAGGCGGGAGTGATTGTCAGACTCTTACTGACCAAAAACCACCCCGTTCCTACTCCTGCACTTCGAGCCGGAGCCCCGGCAATCCGTTAAGTCTTCTGCGGCTCCGGATCGGCACTCTCTGATCCCTAAAGATGAAATTAACTAAACTAGTTACTGATAAAATGTAAAGGTATTTTTGTGAAGTATGTGTTAGTCATATTTTCTATAACGCAATTAAAAATAAATTACGTACCTATATGATTTATCACCGAAACCGCTAATAAGGAAGGATAATAACTGGTCATATTCATAACTCGTGACTTGATTGAATAAAATACATTTATTCATTA